ACCATTGAGGTTATGGCTCCAGAGTCTATGCAAGAGACATTTGCTGCTGAGGCTGAGCCACCAGAGCAACAACCTGAAACATTGATTGATACCAGATCTGAGGACCTGACAACATTTGAGCACGAGGCAGTGCGTCCACTCATGGAATGTGCTGCTCCAGACTCAGAGAAAGACGATAGTAGTGCTGGTGAAGATAAACAATACTGGCAAAGGGATGAAGCAACATTGGATATTACATCTCGAGACCAATTTGTAGACCAGATAGAGCAAGAAATAACTACTGTTGGTGTAGATCCTGGAGCTATATGTTCTGAGGAAGAGGAGAGCTTTAATACAGAGGCTGACCCAAATGAATATGAACATCATCTGCTCTGGGATGGTGAATCTGAGGATCTGACTGCATCTGAGCATGAGACAATGAGTCCACTCTTGGAATGTGCTGCTTCAGAGTCAGAGAAAGAAGAGAGTGATGCTGGTGAAGATGAACACCACGAGCAAGGACCTGAAACAGTTTTACATATCAAATCTGAAGACCTGACTACAACAGATCAAGATGAAACTACTACCACCATGGAAATGATGACAACAGACACAATGCAAGAGGAGGTCTCTGGTTCTGAATCAGACCAACATGACCAACAATCTGACTTACTCTCAGACAGTCAAAGTCGGGATAGTGTTGAGTCTGAGCAACAGGGATCATGGTCTCTCTTGGAAATTGAGGCTTCAGAATTGAAAAAAGAAGATAATTTGGTCGATGAAATTGAGCAAGATGACCCAGCACCGGACTCATTCATCGATATTAAAACTGAAGGCCCAACTTTACCAGAACAGCAGAGAGTGACTGACACCGTGGAAGCTGAATCTTTAGAGTCTGAACAAGTAGAGCCTTCACCTGCTGATGATGAGATATATGATCAAGATCAGAGCATGATACCTGATATTAAACCTGATGACTTTGTTCTGTCTGAGGACCAGGCATCAGGATCAATATTTGATACTGCTGCTCCAGAACTGAGAGAAGTTGAGAACTGTTCAGATGAAGGTCAACAGCATGACCAAATCAAAGAACCATTATTTGATCCAATTGGAGCAGATCAAGATCAAACTGCTACCACCATTGAGGTTGTGGCTCCAGAGTCTATGCAAGAGACCTTTGCTGCTGAGGCTGAGCCACTAGAGAAACCTGAAACATTGACGGATGCAAGATCTGAGGATCCGACGGCATCTGAGCATGAGGCAGTGCGTCCACTCATGGAATGTGCTGCTTCAGACTCAGAGAAAGACGATAGTGATGCTGGTGAAGATAAACAACACTCGCAAAGGGATGAAGCAATATTGGATATTACACCTGGAGACCAATTTGTAGACCAGATAGAGCAAGAAATAACTACTGTTGGTGTAGATCCTGGAGCTATATGTTCTGAGGAAGAGGAGAGCTTTAATACAGAGGCTGACCCAAATGAATATGAACATCATCTGCTCTGGGATGGTGAATCTGAGGATCTGACTGCATCTGAGAATGAGGCAATGAGTCCACTCTTGGAATGTGCTGCTCCAGAGTCAGAGAAAGAAGAGAGTGATGCTGGTGAAGATGAACACCACGAGCAAGGACCTGATACAGTTTTAGATATCAAATCTGAAGACCTGACTACAACAGATCAAGATGAAACTACTACAACCATGGAAATGATGACAACAGACACAATGCAAGAGGAGGTCTCTGGTTCTGAGTCAGACCCACATGACCAACAACCTGACTTACTCTCAGACAGTCAAAGTCGGGAAAGTGTTGAGTCTGAGCAACAGGGATCATGGTCTCTCTTGGAAATTGAGGCTTCAGAATTGACAAAAGAAGAGAATTTGGTTGATGAAATTAAGCCAGATGACCCAGCACCAGACTTATTCATCGATAACAAAACTGAAGGCTCAACTTTACCAGAACAGCAGAGAGTGACTGACACCCTGGATGAGATATATGATCAGGATCAGAGCATTATACCTGATACTAAACCTGATGACTTTGTTCTGTCTGAGGACCAGGCATCAGGGTCAATCTTTGATACTGCTGCTCCAGAACTGAGAGAAGTTGAGAACTGTTCAGATGAAGGTCAACAGCATGACCAAATCAAAGACCCATTATTTGATCCAATTGGAGCAGATCAAGATAAAACTACTAACACCATGGAAATTATGGCTCCAGAGTCTATGCAAGAGACCTTTGGTGCTGAGGCTGAGCCACCAGAGCAACAACTTGAAACATGGACTGATACCAGATCTGAGGACCTGACAGCATCTGAGCATGAGGCAGTGCGTCCACTCATGGAATGTGCTGCTCCAGACTCAGAGAAAGACGATAGTGATGCTGGTGAAGATGAACAACACTGGCAAAGTCTTGAGATATTTTTTGATGCTACATCAGAGGGCTTTAATATACATGAGGAGAAAACAGCTACCTCCTCCTTCGGAAATGTAACCTCAGATTTGGAGGAAGAAGAGGACTTTTTTGATGCGGTTGAGCAACAGGAACAAACATCTGACACGTTTCTGGTCAGTCATTCCAAGGACCCCATTACACCAGAAGACCAGAGAGAGAATGCTTTGAATCTTTTAGAGGACCAACCTGAACGAGAGACTGCCACTCAGCATCCACAGCAAGAGATGACTGGCATTGAGAATTTAGAAACAGCCAGTAACAAGGGAAGTATTTGGTGTTCTTTTGCAGAGGAACTCCTGCAGTTTGCTGTGGACGTAGGCATGACCACTCTTTGTTTTATGATATCCGCAATGATAAAATCCTCCTTAACTTCAGGCTGCAACCAGGATTACTACACTTGGGATCTAGTAGTTAAGTTGCTAGATCCATATTGCGAACTACAGCATTTAGGAGAGACACCCTATTGAATACAGTGCAGAGACTGTGAGACTTAATAACATCTGAATGTACATACATTTATATCCTACTTTATGTAAAAATGGAAATTTCTCTTTTTAATTCTGATTGAATCTGAAAACCTAATCATGTAGCTACCTGCGGTAGCCGGACCCACTTGCAGGAACTCAAACAAAATCAGAATTCTTTTGAGAAAAAAAAAAAAAAAACTTTATCAGGTCAAACGCAGGGTAAAAACCAAACAAAGAGAACAAAAAGTAACAACCAAAATCACTGTGAGAACACAGGAGAAAAGTAACAACCTAAAATCACAGTGGGAAAATGCATGGTAAAAACAGAAAATTACTGGACAGCAAGGTACAGAATAACAAAATAGCCCCAAATTGCTTTGAAAAGCACACGCAAAAAACTTCCATAAGAAACAGGCTCAGACTGAAAGAGACAGAATTATTTCACCCTGGGAACATGAACCTGGTAAGATTAAACCATTAGACGCTGGATAGTGATGGCAGGCCCACTACTTGACCGGGGAGCGACGGCGGCCCACGGCTGAAGGAATGGGAGCGACGGCGGCCCACGGCTGAAGGAATGGGAGCGACGGCGGCCCACGGCTGAAGGCTTTGGAGCAACGGTTCCTCTGCAATTGGGCAGGGGAGCAGCAAAATAGCAACAAACAATGGGAGGGAGTCATTCGATATTTGTCAATAATATTAGGTTAGTTAAGAGGAAATGCAGGCAATAGGCTAGAGAAGATGGGAGATATAATTTACCACTTTGGTGAATAAATATTTTTGGGTGAAGATAGAAATATGGTTCAAATTTGGGAAGCAAATACAAAAGGAAAATTTGATTAAGGGAAGAAGCAGTTGGGGAAAAAGCCAAAGAGGGAGAGAGGGAGGGAATGATGTTTGCAGCAGAAGTTAAGTAGCAGGCTAGCAGCGCTTAGAAGGGCAGAATATCTTATGAAAAAGAAAAAGAGGAAGAATATGTAAGGACTGCTTTTTATTGGGACCAGTAAAGGGTTGTGTATCCAGGAGGGATACTACTACTGGGTTTGTAAGAGCGCCCCTGATGTACTACAGTTCTTGTGGAGGCAGCTGAGAATAGTTTGGGAGAAACATGTTATTTCTCTGACTATTTCTTGGCTGCCAATATCGGAAGGTTTTCTTTCTTTAACCTAACTCCTTCATTGCGTGAGGAAAACAGTGAAGGATGAAGATGAGGTGGTAAGGTCCAGTCAGTGGATTTGGGTTGGGAGAAGCAATAGTATCTGGGTGCCCAGCAGAGGGAACACTTAGACAGATGTGAGAGAGAAGAGGACGAAATCCAGGACGAGGACGCGTTTGAAAGATTTTGCCTGCTAGTTTATTTGTTTTTTAAAGTGTAAAAAAGTAGTGGGAAAGGTTTAACCTATCCCTTGAAACCAGGATGCTACTTTAGGTGAATTAGATTTTTCAGTTGTTTTTCTTAATGACTGTAGGTCTGTTTAATGTTCTGTTGATATGCGTAGGAATAAAAATGAAAATAAATACATGTCATCATCAGTACAGTTTGTTGAATGTCTCTCTTACTGCAAAATGAAGACAAAAATCAGTTCCTCATTCCAAGCACTGGGTGGCAGACATGACCAACACAAGCAGAGCGAGTCATCCTGTCCTTCTACACTCAGAGATCCTGATTTTCTCTGCCTTTGTGGTTAAGATGAGAATTACATCTGAAAGTATAGTTTTGTGCTAATACAGTCTGCTTGGCTGTTATGAAGCTTTTAATCTTCAGTTTTTTCTTAAATGAATGTGATCCTAAAGTATGCCTCATTAACCAAATGTCTGCTATAAAACCATGTTAAATTGAAACTGTTCCATATAGTTACAGAACATACATTACACCAGTCCAATCATGTCTTAGGAAATGTGTCTGTTATAAATGACTGGTTATAAATTAAACTCACAGCTTTTAATTTGAAATCAGATGTTATTCGCTATTGACAGGTCTTTGAAATAAGCAGCTATATCACTTTTGATGAACAAAAATATGAAAAACTGACACTATGTAGGGTGTAAACCTGGAACTTGTTGGCTCTTTCTTAGGTTTCGCCTGCTCCCATTTTACTCTCCAGCCGTGCAGTTACTCCTGTCTCTCCTCAATGCAACACGTTGAGCTCATGCATTTTTCAGCACATTTTGCCGTCTGAGCTGCTATCAAATGAACCCAAGTAAATGAAAGAGGTGGAGCTGGGGAGCTGATGGAGACGATGATGTGTAAAAGCGAGGGGCAGGGTTTTGTGGAACCAGCAACACCTGCCCCTCCTCAACAGGAATGGATGAGCTGTGAGATGGAGATCAGAGCTGCTCATTCAGTCCAGCTGCAGACAAGAAGTGGATCTCAAACCTGAAAGCCGGATTCAACTCCTCTCTCTGCTCTTTTGTTCCTTGTAAGTATTGGAAAGCCCTTTCAGAGATGAAACAAGTTCTGGCTCTCTGTTCTTTTGGACTTTGTGGAATACTTTAAACTCCACTTTCCTCTTCATTTCTTCACTGATCCAAAAGGTGGTCCCTGTCACCTCTGAGGGACCCTTGGCACTGCTGAAAGGTGGAGCCAATCCTCAGTGCCACAAACTCTGGGAAGATGAGGAACAGTATCTAGAGCATTTTCATTCCTTTTCTAAGAACAACGCACACTTGTGAACTATTGAGATTGTTTTGAGAAAAAGAGTAAAAAAAAGAAAAAAGAAAAATGCCTTTTAGTTTATCAGGACTGAAAGAACAGGTGTTTAAACCTGGGAAGGAGGAAGTAAAGAACACCATGGGAGACTCTCTAGGAAAACTACAAAGGTGAGAGGTCTTATTTGTATGGATTATTGCTTAAAGGATTGTTGTGGCTGTCATTGGACTGAACGTGTGGGGGGAGCAGGGCCTTTCCCATGGGTCACACTATGTATTGTTTAGGTTCAGATTGTTCTGGGTCAAGGTACTGATGAAAGCGAGGCGGTATCTCAGACACAGTGGTGCTGAACAGAGATTTGGCCGCATACGCACACAACGTTATCAGAAAGTATAAGATGGATCTCACAAACTGTGATTATTGGAACTGTGCCATGGGATACGGGGGATGTTTTCAGAGGAATGCCAAAGTGAGACGGTACTGTCAGAGAGCACATGAAGACCAGCACGATCCTGACGATAAATAAATATTTGATTCTCCTGCTCACCACAGAATGCAAGAGATTAGATCAGACTTTATTTCAAGACATTATTACATATTTCATATCTGATCCACATCTAAAGAAAGCATAAGTATTTATTGTAATGAAACCTTCACATCACTCACACACATACATATACATGTATTTGCGTAGAAGACTATCTTTTTTTTTAGATATCCTACAAAGTATGCAATTTCCTGAAACATCAATTTTGCCATGCCAATTTTACTTTGCATCATGCAAAGTGGAAATGAGCATTCTTCACCTTTTATTGCCCAATATAAATGTAATGAATACAATAATTTCCTTCCCTCTAAAACTATGATGAAATAAGGTTCTTCTGTGCAATGACCCACAACCACCTTACATTACATGCTTAAAGACAAAAACAAATAAAATATGTAAGGTATATTTGTGCAAGGCTGCTCACTTTATGATCTAAAACTGTGTGTTCATTTCTTGGAAATAAAAAGAATTAGAACAATACTCATTTCTAACAATTTGGGATTTTTCTCTCGTCTGATGGACTATTCAGCAACACACACAAGCATAATATTTTTATTCAACATCTACATAAGCTACTAAAAAACTATTTAGATAATCTTAATTTTTCCTACATATTGTGTATCTGATTATATGATTGTTTAATAGTCTTTCATCTAAAACCACCAATGTTGGCATCGTGCAATGTACAGAAACAGCTAGGCAGAAGTATGTTAAAGATTTTGAATCATTAGATTTAATCTCTGATTGGAAAAGGTCTCCATCAGAGAACAATGGAAGAGGTGGATTCTGGGTAGCATAACATTGATGAGCCTAAGAGAAACCTAATGGGAACCATACCAATGACCATTTTCTACCTTTCCCCCTAAAAATATTCTATTTATTATTATCTTTTTGCAATTTTTTTCAACAGAAATTGATCGAGTTAAACACAAAAGTGGATGAAGGTTGTAATATGAACACATAAATCCACAATCTCTGCTTTCTTTTTGCATTTTAGGAAAATAGATGGTTCAAATGTCGACGAAGAGGACAATTTGGAACTGACGGAGGATGGTCGACCGGTGGCTTCGGCACCACTTCCTGCCCCCCTGTTGGACTGCAGCTGTGGCGGCCTGCCAAAGCGCTACATCATCGCCATCCTCAGCGGCCTGGGATTCTGCATCTCCTTTGGCATTCGGTGCAATCTTGGTGTTGCCATTGTGGAGATGGTGAACAACAACACTGTCTACATAAATGGGACTCCAGTGCTTCAGGTAGCTGGAACTATCACACATGGACTGAGTCACTGATTCCCCTTTTTCATCAAGTCACTTGACTCATCAAAAAACATGATGGAAACAAAGCAAAGATGGAAATCTGTCTTTGGCCATCAGTGAAACGAATACTATCTATTCACAAATAACCTAAAGGTAGACCTTGCTCATACTTTTAGGTTGGAGGGGGTCATGTAAGGCTGCCAGTGAGAGATGGTTAAGTCCTGTCCTGACCAGATGGTGTATTTCAGTGATGCTTTCTGTTAAGTGGGTGTGTCCTTACACTTTGGATAATCATTTGGTGTTTCGTATTAAATTAAAACATGATGACTAATGTCAGGTATCTCACTGACCTTACACTGACCTTTTGATAACACGTGGCATCACAGATCCTTGTCACTTGATGATGAGCTGTATATACATGTATCTTTCTATTTAAACACACAAAGTTTTCCGAATACACAAGAAAGGTTCATCCAATCCTCTTTTACTTCTGAGTCTGTATAACCAGATAAAAAAAAACTAATGCACAAATATTGGATATATAGAAGTATTTCCTTGATCATAGATTCAACGTTCTTTTTTGAAAATGAGAATGTTAGTTCCTTCAATAAATGTTACACATTTCTTTTTTTTCAATCCATGTTGCCTATTCTTCCTTTCCAGAAAGCTCAGTTTAACTGGGACCCAGAAACAGTGGGACTGATCCATGGCTCCTTCTTCTGGGGCTACATCGTCACTCAAATTCCTGGCGGATTTATCTCCAACAAGCTGTCTGCCAACAGGTTACATGCACTGATTGACTTCACAATTGTTTTCTCATTTTATTGTGATGCTGAAAATGTTTTTACCATCACTGGCTGAATTTATAACAGTTGTGAACACCTCTAAACAAGAGTTAATAGGACAAAACAGTGATCAGAAATTGCTGTTTTTTTCAGCAAAAACGAAGATGTCAATATGTTAAATTTTTCACGTGAGGTGAAATGTAAAGTCGGACATCATAGTTCAGAAATTGTGTGGTCTGTCTGTCATGAGCAGAGAATTTTGTTGTTTGATCCCTGACGATATACGATTAGAAAGAGTCAGCAGAGACACTAACTAGCTGAGAGAATGTTTGTGGGAGCGGGAGTCCCTGTGGTTAAAGGGTTAAAGCCGTTTGGTGTGGTGAGCAGTCACGATGGAGCAGATAGCAGTCCTGTAATAAAAGCTTCACAGGAAAAGAGGACACGCCACTGACAGAGTTAATAATGAAAGATCCTGCCTCTGATTGCTTTCTGAAACATCAGCCGCTGGAATATTACAAGTGTCACTTACACACTGTTTTGGAAAAGAGAGCCAAGAGAGGGGAGCCCAGTGGCTCTGTGGTGATGAAGTACAAAACTTATGAATGGAAGGGGATGTCTTTATCTCAGTCGCTGAATGGCAGAGGAGTGAGATGTCTGTCATTATAAAAGTGACTGAGATATTTTGACTGTCAGATATCTGCTGATAGTGCTTGGCTGCCAATATCAGACATCTATGGTAGCTTTCAAATGCCGTACAGTCTGCTGGGCTTTTACCTGTGTAGACGGACTTGGACATTATCGCATGATGCCATTAATGAAAAGTATGAATTCAAAAGTTTTTTAATTAGCAATCCAAAAATAAAAATCAGGGATTCACAAACTTTAGGAAACAGCACATATTCAGACAAACTGACCAATGGATTTGTCAAATAGTGTCTTAAATGGCCCTCAAAATGTTTTTCTTTGATTATTTTGGAGTTTTTTGGACAGTAAAGATACTTGCTGACTGAGGAAATTTATAGTATTAGACATCCATTAGCTAAGCTCAAAGATCTGCAATTGGAAGAAACAGCTGACTTCAGTCTCATGTCAAATAATCCACCTTTCAATACTGATAATTAGTTTAAAAGTAGTTAGGCTTTTGTTTTCCTGTTTCTTGTTTCCGGTCCTCATGCTAAGCTTAGTCAAAAGGATTAGTGGCTATGAAGAAGAAGTCTTTCACTTCGATGCATGAATGTTTAATAACCTAAGTGACTCAGATGGCCTCCACTTTTACACAAAATGATGACAATCCACTATTTCCACAGAGTGTTTGGAGCTGCCATCTTCCTAACATCAGTGCTGAATATGTTCATCCCATCAGCGGCAAGGGTGCACTACGGCTGCGTCATGTTTGTCCGCATCCTGCAGGGCTTAGTGGAGGTAAGGAGAAGAAAACTTTGGGAATTATTTAGGAACCTTTGCGAATCTGTGTATATATTTTTTTCTCTGAGACAAATATCGTCAGACTGTTCATATGTCTAAAGGGAAACCCACTGAATTGAACTTTGATGTTGATGGATCTGAACCAATGAGTACTCTGTGGGAGGTTTAGACATCAGGTCAGTGCTTCTTTGTCAGTTTTCCGACGAGTTATTAGGCTCTTTTTTGTCCCTGACAGGGTGTAACATACCCAGCCTGTCATGGCATGTGGTCCAAATGGGCGCCACCTCTTGAGCGGAGTCGACTGGCAACCACATCATTCTGCGGTGAGCTGCACCTCTGCTTTCTATTCTCAATAAAGAAACCACTCTTTCACTGTCAAAAGTACCTTAGGGAAGTGCAGAAAAGCACCCAGAAAAAAACGCAGAACACTTGCAAAGCTGAGAAATAAAAGAACACAATGTCAAACATTCAACACCCTGGAGCTGAAGTAAGGAAAATTGGCATAATATGAGACCTGCTGAGGAAGGTGATGATTAAAACAATGAAACAGCGCAACTGTGTGGAAATCACTCAGAGAACCTCGAACACCAAACCCACAGCGCACAGCCAAGAAGCAAAACAAAACCCAGACACAACAAAAACAAGCATATTTTGCCCAACCTCACAAGTCAGAATGGGGTTGGCCAAATAAATGGATTTGAAAGAGCTTATTTTGCTTTGCAGATCCTGACCTCTGCGGCCTCTGCTGAAATTAAAATGACGGGCTTGCACTTTAATTGTTGCCATGGCAACCCGTGCATCAAAACCCTCTTGACATTGTCTGTAAATGAGCGCCGCTCACCTGCATGATTTGAAGGAGCTTCTCTTCCATTCACTGAAATGAAGTCCCACATTGCTTACTGTCCAAAAGCACTCTGGTTCCCTCTTCTCTTTTGAAAACGGCGGTGCTCATGATGCTATCAGACAGTGGAAAACACACTAAAACACCCTTACAGTAATGGCAGTGCTAATGACTCGTTTTGACAGTGTTTATTCAATGAAACTAATGTGTTTCTTTGATTCTTTGGTTTCATTTAGTCACATTTTGACAGAGCTGAAAGGTTAATGTAGTGACGAGATAAAGCATTTTCTATAATGGCTGAATGTCACTGAAGTCCAGTGTCACTGATGGAGAAACACACCAACAGCCATATCTGTTCATCTCAGGATCCTACGCGGGAGCGGTGATCGCCATGCCTTTAGCCGGAGTGCTTGTTCAGTACGTTGGCTGGTCTTCAGTCTTCTATATCTATGGTAAGACTGATACAAGAATAAACACCTCACTCTTAAAACCCCAAGCAAAAATACATTTGCACAAAGGAAAATACAAAAAGAAACTGTCCAGGTTCTCTCCTCATAGGCTTTGTCTTCTAAATCTACAATAAAGAATTAGTACCTTATCAATTTAGTTTTTCATCAAGACTTCACTTTCCTAAAAGATGCTATTGTTGTTTATCAATTGTGAATTTTGTAAGAACAAACATCCTACATTCCAGATTGTGTAATTAAAGTTACAGACAAGCTTGTCTACGAGGCTGATTAATCATTAAGGGATCCTTAGCAATCTTAACTTTCTACAGTGATATGCACACATTTCTGTTCAGTAATAATGACTTAACATACAAAACTACAGAACTAATTGATTATGGAGTTATTAGAAATACTGTTTTGTGCCACACAAAGTGGTTTTCATAGTATTTGACCAACACGTTCCTGGTTGGTAGTCGAATTATCTATGCTTTGCGCTGTAAGTGTTATCTGAATTGCTGTTGAGTTTGATTAAAATGATTATCAGTCACATGAAATTCATACCTTGGCAACATGTTTTAATAAAAGCCACTCTGATTTAGCTGTGATAGGATCTCATGATTTATTGATGTAAATTAGCATTTTCCTGTCTCGCCCGTCTGACTCACGCTGGTTCCATTTTTAATAATGAAAATTCTTGTGGTCCAGAGAAGGTCTGAGCTTACTTTAATTAATCCATCCAGGACTGAGTCCTACTCCTTTCTACTTTACAAACCTTGCAGGACATGTACAAATCCCCATATTTTGTTCTTTGTGTTATTGTCATACTAAAAGGAGTTTTTGGGATCTTATGGTATATCCTGTGGCTCCTGCTGGCTTACGGCAGTCCTGCTGCGCACCCCACAATCACAGACGAGGAGAGGATGTACATTGAGACCACCATTGGTGAAACGATGCGCCAGCTAAGTGTGACAGAGGTGTGCACGTGTAACAAGCTGTGCATTTGCAGTTTGTTTGAGAGGAAACCCGACAAACACGTCTCTCCCTCGGTCGCAGAAATTTAAGACTCCATGGCGTCGTTTCTTTACCTCCATGCCGGTCTACGCGATCATCGTGGCAAACTTCTGCCGCAGCTGGACCTTCTACCTGCTTCTCATCAGCCAGCCGGCATATTTTGAAGAAGTGTTTGGCTTTCCCATCAGCAAGGTCGGAGTCAAAGTTCAATCAGTGCTATTCAACTGATGGTGACAAATGTCCATCAACAATTTTATTGTTTTAAAAAATATATATAATCTAGTACATTATGTCATCACCTATCCACAAATCTGAAACATTAGTTTGCCTACTACCCTATTCTGTCACCTTGTTTTTCTTTTCCATAAATCAAACTAAACTAGCTGCCGTGATTTTTAAATTTTAATTTCTTTGTTCTTCTTTCTTATACTTTTTTGATACAAGGGATGTGCAAGATGAGACTCAGTGAGTAATCTTTGTGAGCCCTATTGTGAGGCAGCAACTAAGATTCTGATTTGACTCCCACGCAGATGCATTTTAAACTTGATCGTAGTTTATTTTAAGATGTCCCTGACCACTCATTGTAATTCTGGATTAGTCTGACTGAAAATCTCTGCATCTGTCGTTGATTTCTTTTTTTAAATGGAATTTTACACATTGTGGGACTTCCATAACAAAATAACTTCTTATAGGTGGGGATCCTGTCTGCTGTGCCCCACATGGTGATGACAATTGTTGTTCCAATTGGAGGACAGCTGGCTGACTTCCTGCGCAGTAACAAAATCATGTCTACCACAAATGTGAGGAAACTCATGAACTGTGGAGGTACGTTTGTAATTCGTGACACTTTTAGACCACTTGTAACCTTTTACAGTTGATGCTGATAGTACCTCATTCAGATGTGTAACTGTGTCAGAAATATTCTTAATGCATGATTGTAGATTTTACATATCTAAACCCCGTGGTTTAGCATCTAGTTTTGAGGGTTAGTAAACTTTTTTTAATCAGTCGGTAATTACTGAGTGTCTAACATGAGCTAATTGTAAAATTTCTCCTCAGGGTTTGGTATGGAGGCTACTCTACTATTAGTTGTTGGATTTTCTCACACTCGAGGGGTGGCCATTTCCTTCCTTGTGCTAGCTGTAGGTTTCAGTGGATTTGCCATATCAGGTATTATCACAAAAACATATATTTCCTCAGATTCAACATTTTGAATTAGACTGCATGAAGTTTGAAGGTTTTGCATTAAGCTCCACGAGGATATCAGACTTTTTTTTAGGGGTGTTATTAATTATATATTTATTATATTTACCTGTAAGTATGATGTATTATGCATGCATTGACCTGGTTTTCATGGAGGCATTTCCGTTGAATATTTCAGCTATTGGTGCAAAGAAACCAAGATATCAAAATTTTTATGTAGATCAAACCCTCTTATATAAAGTAATTCAAATACAACCATTCATCATGTTGTATTTACGTTAGACTCATCAGACATTTCTGTGTGTACTGTGTCCATAGGTTTTAATGTAAATCATCTGGATATTGCTCCTCGCTATGCCAGCATTCTGATGGGCATCTCTAACGGAGTGGGGACGCTCTCAGGAATGGTGTGTCCCTTGATTGTTGGAGCTTTGACGAAACACAAGGTATATCCTATTTAAAAAGATTACAATGTCTCCAGGTGTCTTTAATATTGTCCAAAAGCTCTTGTATGGATGTTTGCTCCCTTTTGTTCTGTTTCCATCATGATGATCCCTCTATAAGACCTGTTGCCACAGATTTTCCCTTCACTTCTTGTATCATTTGGCCTAGCTGATCCTTTTCTCTCTGTCTCCATCCCTTAAAAACTGCTTCTTCAAAGCTCTCTTTGCAGCTTTCATTGCAAATGTGGTAATATATTAACTGCGTATATGACTTGAAAAGTGTCTCTGTGTTGGGTTTGTCATGTTTACAGATGACACTGGAACTTTAGGTGACTTTTTTCCACTGAATAATTGATGGGCCAGTGTCAAATGGCTTTACACAGTGACGTGTTAGAGAAACAATTCGCAAGCCATTTCTAGTAGATCTTTCATTTGACTTTAAATAATGATCTTCTGCTCAGTTGTGAATTATAACTATATCTAAAGCTTCACAGGAAATTCTGGTAATGTTGTACAGAATTCATGAATAGTTACTGAGGTGCGTTGTGCTGGAGACTTTTATAGCTGCCTGTAACCTTAGAGTTATCAAATACTGCTGTTAATTCACTATGAAATATATAAAAACTCATAACAGCTGCAGTGCCATGAGCAGAACTGTGAGTTTTAGGAGAAACACCACTGAAATATCAGTGTCTGTATCTGACAGGACACTCTTTGATCTTGTACATTTCTTCACAGACTCGTCTAGAGTGGCAAAATGTGTTTGTCATTGCCTCCATGGTTCATTACACCGGGGTCATCTTCTACGCCATCTTTGCTTCGGGAGAGCAACAGGAATGGGCCGATCCCGAGAGCTTGAGCGAGGACAAATGCGGCATAATCGATGAGGACGAGCTGGCCGAAGAGTCCGAGCTCAGCAGTGAGATTGCGCTGGCTCCCAAAAAGAGTTACGGAACAACAGACAATTCGTCCGGTCGAAAACAGGGCTGGAAAAAGAAAAGAGGGGTGACCATGCAAGAAGAAGAGGGACACTATGGGAATGGGGACTATCAGGACCAGTACCAGTGAGATCGGTGCGGGAGGCAGTGGACTTCGGTCAAAGCACAGGGTGTCTGTTTCTCCTCCCCTGGAAAAGAGAGAAAAGAATTAGCAGGAGCTGCAGCATCACAAGTAACTCAAGCCGTTTCATTTTCCGTCTCTGATTGCAACACCTGTTCACCTGTGACGTACATCAGTGTCCCCAGAAATAAATTTAAGCTTGGAAAAAGTAGAACTACTGCGGTCAGAAATGATTTTTATAAAACCCCACTGGACCAAAAGAACCATCAGCCAAATCATGCAAATGAACTAATGCTGACACAATCTGTAAGCTTAATACGGTGGAGGCCGCGGATGAATGTTTGTGGGCCAACCAGCGCCATGTCAAGCAAATCATGAGAAACACATATCAGCTTTCTATCCCTGCAACCTGTGCTGATCGTGTCTTTCTGAAAACCACGCAAACAGCTTCCGAAATGTTTTTTGTCAGCTCTGTGACATGAAAAGAGACAAACCACTGGAATTGAATCATGGGCCTTACTGCAGATCACAGTGTTGGTGTAGTGAGTCTCTTTTGCTTTTGTTGACCATACTGTATGTATTTGCTGTTGCTTAAAGATTTCACGCTGTCACTGTTTTGCTAGCTGTCCGTTTCTGAACCGGTCTTAGCTCATTAATTTATGCATTTCTATCCGGGCATTTCATATGTAGACCTCTTGGGTCAAATGGAGGATGAGCTTATTGTTGATACTTTTTGTCATTCTTAAAGTGTTTTAATTGGCATTTTCTAATTTTTTGATCAATGAACGTTCTCTAAAATAATTCATAAAAGAACCTGAGATAAATGCACTCACCATTTATTACTTTGACAGAAGCAAAATCAATTTTGTACAGAAAGATTATAAGAAATTATTTAAATGTCTCAAAGATTATTTATTTCATTTGCACATGAATAGACTACACATGCAACAAACTGAACATCTGAACAGCTTCAAAATTCTGGATTACTGAGTGACAGGTCTGTTGTCCTTCAGATTATCATATTCCTTTGTGCACTTGATTAAGCTGAAGAAGCCGTTTGTAAATTTTTAAGTTATGAAAAAAAATGCTGCAGTGCAATGTATTTATTATTAAGTTCCAAGGGGGTATATTTGTTAAAACATTAGAAAACAGTCACTGTAACACAGACATGGGGTCTTATGAGAGGATTGTTTTCCAACATCCATTGCTCCAAGATCCTATGCTGTGAATGTTTTATGGTCCCGAAAACATGTTTTTCAAGCTCAGGCAAATTGTCTTTTGATCTTATGTTCCAAAAAGGCTTTTGTGTTCTTCGTTCCCAGATTTTTGGATCCCTTCTAGATAACAGACCAGGATGTATGATCTTTGGCAGAAATTGTGACAATATGTACTTCATATCATCGGGGAGACTGGAGGACTTTACAAATGTCTCTCAGTGTCATGCATGGTCATATAGCTCTGAAACTGTACATTGTTTGAGATAAATTTATGTGACGAAGGAGATAAGATTGTGTGTGATGTTTTTTTTCTTTTCTTTTTCTTTCTGTCACTCCTGCACATAGTGCTGAACAGCCAATTCAGGAAACGGAACAGGATGCTACTGATGATACTACATATCCTTTAGGGCTTTCTCTGGACTTACCACATTAGGCGCCTGCAACTTTTGGCTGGAGTTTGGGTCACAGCCCAGACAGACAGATAATCTGCGGTTACTAAATTACAACTCTTTTTTTTTTTCATACAATGTTGTGGCCATAGTACCCTGGAATTTTGACATTTGCCCTGGAAAAAGGAGGGAATGTTTAATTCCCCATCTACTCGGAAGATGACTTCTTATCTTAAGGAATAACCCCCAATGATGGCAGAAGGTTCAGAATCACCTACAGCCCTAATTTGAACACTTTTCAGCTCATTTTCGTTCAACGGATTACTAAACTATTATTGCTAAGCTGTTCTTCTCGCTTGTTTATGTCAGCGTGGTCACATAAGAAATTCCCCAAATTTTCAAAGACGAGCCTGCTCCCCATCTCACTGTAAACATCCTTTGTGTTATCTACTTCTGTACGCCTGCTTTTTAATTACTGGACAGGATATTCCCTGCCAGCATTACACTCTTGTACAAGCTACATTCCTTTGAAAGCGTTGTGTGATTTGGCTATGAAAAGGCTAATGATTATTCCTTTTAACATGGCGATAAGGGATTTCAAGGTTATGGACTTTGTTTCTGGTTGTTCTCGTAGTACTCTGAAGGTCTGCGGAGCATGTGCTCCACTGTGTTACTTTACAGCGCATGTGTGTTTATTTCATGAGGGTGTCTGGCAGTATGTCTGGAATTAGTAACGAAACACCTAAATGAGAGGAAACAAAAACCAGCACCTTATATATCTTCCACATCCGTCCTGAGACTATCTAACATTTAAGTATGTTGCAGCTGGAGTTATGTCAGCTCATTCCTTACATGCTGTCAGAGCCAGAGCAGATAGTCCACAAACAGCAACAAATGGCAAAGGTTCTGTTTATTTCAGAGACACTGACTGTTTACTCAGAAGGGCCTCTTTGGATGGAGCAAGAACCCATCAATGATTAAACTATTCTTTTATGGGACAATTTAAGGATCGAAGAGACAAAAGAATTACATTTCCCGTGTCCGCGTTCCGTTTGGATCGCACGCAGACAATGCAGTACGTACGCAACCACCTGGAATCTCTGTAATAAACAAACCCGGTGGTGACGAGCAGCACACACAGGAGTGACACGATCAAATGGCCAGGAGCAGTTCAAGGACGCCCGGTTGCCACACCGTCTGCTTTCAGAGATTTTCCCAGACAACTTAAATTTCCTGCTGTAAATACAATCACAATACATTGAAAACAAGGGAGCCGATGACACAGAAAAGTTGCGGGTGCTCTGTTTTCTTATTGGAAGATGAATGGTGATTAATCACAACAGCTGTTTATACCACGCTAATGACTGGGTGTATGTCCTGTGGCTGCAATGTTTGTGTGTACAAGAGGGAATTCTTGAAGCTGCCTGTTGTCATGATGTGATAAAGTGGTTTGTGTGTGTGCGTGCATGCATGCGTGTGTGTGTACGTGTGTGTGTGTGTGTGTGTGTGTGTGTGTATGGAGGGGTGAGTTGACATGGACGGGAATGGACAGTTTAATTAATAACCACCACCCATTTCTCCCTGACCTCAACTGGCCACACATGGTCCCGCTGGAGTCCAGACACAGGCAGCTAAACGCTCCTCGGCCAATATTGATGGAGCTGTAAATCACAGCCTCTGTAACAGCACAAAGACAGCAGGGCGACATTAGTCGGACTGAAGGACTTCATCATCGACTGACCGGGAGACGGTAAGAACCGGGATGCTGAGAATGCGTGCGGGGCCACTGGTTTGAGGATATTTGTGCGACTGTTGTGTGGGCTGGACCTTTATGAATCTTCGTGGGCTACTTTTTGATCTCAAGGGAAATTACCCAGAGTTAATTAAAAAATGTGTCAGCGCAGTCAATATAAGGAATGTCCCACATGTGGCCCTTTCGTGGCCTTGACAGCGGGGGAGCTCTGCTGTATGTGCCGCCTCGTGTGAGGCTGAGCTTTTACCGTACATTTCTGAGTACGCTGTCAGTGCTTATCGGCTCTGAAGGCAAGCGTGTGTTAACACATTGTTTGAGGAGTGACAACGCAGGCACTGCTGTACATGCTGTCAACTGGTAACAGCATGTAGTTATGTAATGAGAAAGTAAACATCACAAACGTCTCTTTTCCACTACCTGCAGGCGTTTTAGTGACCTGACTGCATCCTCCTCCGTCCTGCAGCCACTCAACACCTCATTCCTGTGTGGGAAGGAGGCCCGTCAGGTGTGTTCACGTAAAAACTATGCTGTCGTCCGGTGTATATGTAGATGTTTTTTAATGACACTTTTCTCTTTCTATCAAAAAAGTCTCACTGCAGGTGTGCAGCCCTGTCCGTTGAGTGTTTTGTGCTGAGCTGGGGACAGAAAACTCAGCTGAATGAATGAGTGGGTGGGACCTGATATCAATGTGGTGGGGCCGCTGCAAATTCCCCCCAACGATGAATTCTCAATCGCAGAGAACGCCCACTTCTTTGGTAAGCAAAGTCTGAGAGCTAAACGCCAACGAAGCCACGCCATCATGCTAATAATTGCACATGATTTGCGGGCTCTTGTTTTCTTGATATCCATTGGAATGCCAACATTTTCTCATGAGAACGGGGTTGAGCAGATTGCACTGTGGAGTTATCTCATGAACTAAAGTGCAAACAGCTTTACCTTAAAGAAAGATTTTGAAGGGCTCTTGTGGGTAACAAACATTCATGTTACATCCATCCATTGTTTTCAGTCAATTGAAAATTCCACATTTTTCAAAGATTTGACAGTTTTTACCTTGTCTAATTAAGTTTGGTGGCAGTTCCTTTCATCTCACCAGAAGTTTAAAATGGTAGTAGATTTTAAACAGATTGGAGCTCAACACTGTCAATATATTACATATACATCATTGGATCAAAGTCCAAGAGCACCATAAACTATACCCTCTGAAATGAGCATTCAGCTGAATCCAGCCATGTGTAAAAGAGTTACAACCGAGCAAGCAAAATGTGTCACCTTTTTTCACTGATTTGAGTTTAATTACATGAACCAATTAAACATACACTGATCATATTTAAAGCTGACACTCCAAATGTTCCAAAAAAACGTATCAAACGTGTTGTTAATTCTCACATAATACGGTCACACACCAAAAAGAAGGGGAGAGAAACACAAATAAAAACATTTAAATCATGCTAATGTCCTGATTGACTCAGTGTAGGCTCCTCTATTGCAAACAGAATTATACCTAGAAAGTTAGTTTGAAAACCAAGTTAAATTGATAATATTCATAATAATATTCCTTTTGTACTCAAAGCATGTGAAACAAAACAAAAAAAGAATGAACAAATAATTGTACTTCATGACCTGTAGAACTCATCTATGAGCCAATTCACATCACTTACCACTGCACAGTAGCTGCCTGCCTGTTCCCAAACCTGTGAATGACTCCACACTAAAGGCAGCTACTTGTAATGATGTCAAGAAATGTGGCCGTGTGGTTAATGAGTAGCCCTGGCAACCTTTGCTCTCTTTGGGATTTCTTAAGCAAGTGGCAAGTGGCTGCTGTTCTCAAATATTTACCGGCAAGCTCCCCAATCAAGAGAAATAATTGGGAGAGATTTTGTTTTTGTTTTCTCTAAATTCATTACCAAGGAGGGACTGAGCTTCAGAATCCAGGCGGACGTCTGGGATCAGGGAGTAAAGTCTTAGTTTCCTTTGTGTGTCTGGTCACATGGAGGTGGCTATGGTTCAGACGCAGCCCTCGAGAGGTTAGTGTTTCACTCTTTTTAACACATATCCGTCAGTGTGTCTGCTATAAGAAACACTCTGACAAGATTTAAGTAAAGATGAGGGATTATTTTTCATGTATCCAAAGTGGGGGTCATCCATTAGAACATTTTTGGAAGGAAATAGCAAATACATGTGCCAAACACCTGCTTCGGAAGGGAGTCATGATGAAACATGGCTGTGAACCCGTGTTCACAGAACATAAAATTCATGTGCCTGCTTGGCATGTTGTTACTTGCCATCCTAAAAGAAACAGTGTGAACCTTTTAAATAATTTATGGGATTATAGTATATGTTGTGCAGATCGCTGACAAGTGCTGAACCTGATTTTACTTTAATGAGATTCTTCTGGAAGTCCAGTGTTTCAAACCAGGAGGTGTCACATACAATGAAAACTGCTGTGTTGATTTCATATCCTTTTTATGATTAAAACACTTAATATATTGCATATTAGAAGACTGTAGAATGTCTGAGGGCTGTGGAGAGTTTTAACAACTTTCAGCTGATGTTTTCTTTAGTTCCAACATTACTTATCTCTCTCAGTAGCTTCACTTTCAGCCACAGTATATGGAGCTTTCTATAAAAGATCTGTATGCCTTGCTTCAAGATTATTCTCTGTACTTCGGTGTTAGGCTTTGAACAAAGTCTGAAATGTACTAACTAATGAGATAGTTCCCCAGGGAGAAGATAAAAACAAACCAACAAACAAGAAATTGCTAGTGAACGATCCAGTTCATGAAGCAGTAATAGATAATAACAGATAAAATAGAATAGGACATTGGAGACTTTAGCACAACATCATTGCACCATACTGCATGTTATCTAATGAAGGGCTTGTGATAAACTTCTCCTTTTATTAATGGCATAAATGAGTCAACAGCTTGGATTTTGACAAAAATTCTAATCTAATAATAAAAAATATTCATGATTTTTTTTCAAAATGAGAGAGATACTGAAAACAATTCCTTAGCAGGTTACACTAATAAATTTAAATGCTTCTAAGTGATTTTAAAGATGTACTTGATTGTGTGTAGAAAAGTTCAATGTAGAATGGCCACAGGAAAACAAAGCAGAGTTGACAACGTTGACTTTGATTCAGCAAGTTAAGATGGGCCATGCTTCAAAATCAACAGAGAATGGACAGTGAATGAAAACAATCTTTCTCAATTCAAAGAATATTTACAGTGCAGACGACTGTGAAATGATTTGGGGAGTTGGCACGGATCTCAGCCGGGGCCGAGGATTGAAACTGCTGTTTCCTGCTATTCCCTTCAAACCCTCGGGCTGCATTGTATGACAAATCAGTCATTTCAGGGATTAAGGAGGATTTTTAGTTTTCTTTTTTTTGGATACAGCCGTGGTCATGAAGCCGTTCATGATCTGGACCTTCCTGCAGGGCACCTGCCACCAGAAAGAGGAAAGGAGAGTTTTCAAACTCTCTTTTTCTCAAAAGATTATTGCATGATGAGGGAAAACGTGTGGCATGTACACTATAAAAAACTCTGCATAAAAAAGAAACAGGTTGTAAAATTCTTGGAAGAACATGGCCAAGGTTAAAATGTGCTATATAATCAGGTTTAATCTTTGTGTGTTTTATAGCCCCTGTCCTCTTTCTTTCTCAGACATTCTGGCAGATCAAGGCAGCTCTCTCCTGCACGACCCTGACGTCTCGCCCTTTGCCAGCCATCCCGGCATGCAGTACCCGACCATGGAGCCAAACATGTCCTCGACTCCGTACTACTCCGCTCAGAACTATTACTCTCAGTACAGCGGGGACGAATGGTACCTACACACAGGCCTGTACGAGCTCAGGAAAGGACCCATGGAGGGCAGCTTCAACACTGAGATGGAGGAAGGGTCGTCCGTCGTGCCGGCTGTGTGTAAGAGGGCCCGCCACATGTCACAGGCGGGACGCATCAAAGGGGAGGAGCTGTGTGTGGTGTGTGGAGACAAGGCCTCTGGATACCACTATAATGCTCTGACCTGTGAGGGATGCAAGGGTGAGTGGACAGCGCACCGACACACAGCCGGACAGCTCCTGTTCTTTCATTTGGATCTGAAAGCTGCCGATTGGGATAAATAAATGATTCATCTGTCAGTGATCATTGTCAACATCCAATAAGTCAAAATACATTTTCAAAAAAAGGAACGGCATAATTAGGTGGGAAATCCTCCTGGAAAGCAGCATCCTTTCAAGTCTTGTGTTCATGATCAGTCCCTTAACAACAATGTTGGTTGGTTTTTTTGTTTTTCTGCTTGGTATAGTGCTATCTTCCGAAGTATTTTTTTAAGTCTGTGGATTTTGTGCTGTTTAAATGGCATTTCCACACAGTTAGACTACATAGATATATACTTGGGAGCTGAGTGATATTTGCCCTATATATCCAAATTCTGTTGTCTTAAGCTGTGACCTTTAGGGGCCCAGCAGTGACCAGGATGTTTATGTGTGCAGCCCAAAACAACTGGTGAGGAGTCACAATTGAGCATGTGGCAATTGAGAGTTATTAATCGTGTGTGCTCATGCTGTACCCAGCTCCTTATCTGGGTGCTGTTAGAGATTTTGTAACAGTTGTTTACAGCTGCTTATCGTACAGAGTATAAGAAACCCTTTTGACTCGGTGCATGATTAGTTTGCGGACAATGAATATCAAATCTGCGCTGGGTTTTGGTCTGACAGTTCCTGTGAAAAGCTGAATGAAAGACACCCGGAACAACAAAGGGACAACTTCACATTACGAGAGAGCGCTTTACGACACTTAATCCCCCCCACAAAATATTTACAAGGTCTTCTGGAGACCCTTCCCTGTGTTTTTATGACAGTCTGAATTTAGTGGTATTCGTAAAAAAAAAAAAAGACAAGACGAGTGAGTGAGTGTGACTGTAATTCCACACGGCCTGGCTGAACAATGCCAGAAGTGTGGCAGGCGGCCTGCGCTGCCGTTCGACTGAGAATGGGCTCAGATCTACCCGGTACCCCTGACAGATTGGGTTCCCTCTCAGCTTTCTGCTGCACAATGCACGAGCAACTGGAGCTCAGTCACGCTAACGCGGGTCATTGTGCTCGATGATGTCAGAACGTCTGGTAAAAGTTTCAAACCTTTTTTCTGCGCTCGTGTTTGCGGGACATGCTAAGCCTGTGGGAGTCCGACAGCAGTGTGTGGTTAAACTGTTTAGCCCAGCAGTGGGCAACCCCAGGCCCCCAGAGTCCTGCAGGTTTTAGAGGTTTCCCCGCTTCTACTCACCTGATTCAGATAAAAACTGATCTCTTCTAAAGGTGTTCAGTTCTGAACGGGACCTGCAGGACAGCAGATCTGGAGGCCTGCAGTCGCCACACCTCTGGTTTATCCAGATAAATGAGGGTAGAGGGTAGAACTGGGTAAGGGTCAGGTCAAGATTGGAGTGAGGAGAGAAGGAATGAAGAGTGTAGTGTCACCTGTTGATGTTTGGATCAGAGTTCCGTCAGTGTGTGACACATTCAGTTGTGAACACATATGCGTATACCTAATTATGGTGAAGCCTATCACACTTGAACTGCCATTACATATAGCGGATTATTCTTCACCCCAGACCTGATGGCTTCATCTGTGAGATTTGACTTTTTCTGTTACAAAATCTGGCCTTTTTAAATGTTTCGTAAATGGTGTTCTTTTGTTTCTTTATTGCAACTACATTTTTGAAGTGTTCAAAGATAAAGTGATGATGCAGTATGTGCACAGAGAGGACATTTTATGCCCGTGGTAATGATAAAAAACGAGAAAAATGATAAATTAACGGGAAAGATTTGAGACTCGTGCACTAAACATGCATTGCAGAACACAATGATTTTCAAATTATTTTCCTCACATCAATTGATAGAAGGTAAATTACCAAGAAAGTTTACCCATTTTCAAGACAAAATCTTAGACAAAACTTACTGCCTCTGTCTAAAATGTTGCAAAATGTGTTGGTTTACGCCCCTTTTTGCTCATGTTCAGGTTTTTTCAGGAGAAGCATAACAAAGAACGCTGTGTACAAATGCAAGAGTGGTGGAAACTGCGAGATGGACATGTACATGCGCAGGAAATGCCAGGAGTGCCGGCTCAGAAAGTGCAAGGAGATGGGAATGCTGGCAGAGTGTGAGTATCACTGCTGGCTGGAGGACCACCTGTCTCACACAATGATCGACTCATTTGGCAAAGCGGAGATATATTAAGCATATTGGCACCATCGACATCAGCTTTGTTCGGCCTGTTAGGTGGAATGATGAGCGGCCGTCCGGGGTAACCCCATTCTCCCTTCTCTGATACGGTCTATCGAATCATTCTGGGAGATTGTGTGTCGCCTCTTCCACATAAGTAACAAAAGGCTCGGCTTTTGTTACTGTTCCCAGAACAGAGGCAGTCAAACAGAAAGTTCAGTACAGAAGAAAAAAGAAACAACTACCCCCCACGTAATATTTCTGAAGATAGTTATGGGTCTATTAAAAGCTGTCAGTAGAAAAGAGCAGAGGGAACAAACTGGACTCGTGTTGCTCATAAATAGTGCAGGGAGCTGTGATGAATATTGCAGGGTGGAAGGCAGCGGCGATACTATCTGGTGCTGCAACGAGAGCCCAAAAGCTTAGACTTTTTTAATGATAGCATGAAAGACAGATCCCTTAACTAATGTTGATGCCTCCATGGTTATTTTAAGTGCATGACTTTAGTGCATTTTTACTTTTCTAAAATATCTAATTCTGTTAAAGCTGTTTCTTTTAGTCTTATTTTTTTAAAAGCTCAAAATAGGAATGTCATTAGAAATATATATTTCTGCTGTGTTGTACTCATCCGAATATCTATCACGTGGAAAATATGATCCACGCAAAACAGCAAAGGCTCACTTGGGATTTCGATGAATGTCTCGAATTCTGAGACGTGCGGCAGGATGAAAAAGTGTGAGGTATTTAACACGCAAACTGAGGTTTCCCTCCATGCTGACAGGCCTGCTGACAGAGATCCAGTGTAAGTCCAAAAGACTGCGCAAAAACACCAAGGCCTCCCCCGGCCGGTCGACGGGGGATGAGACGGAGGGGGCCGACAGCGCTGACAGCAAACAGGTCACGTCAACCACCAAACTGTCAAAGGTAAACAAACTGCATCAAACCGTGAGACAAACTGTGTTACTCCTCACTCATTGTCTGTTTTTGTTTTTTATCTTTCCTTCCAGGAAAAGGTTGAAATCAGTCAAGAGCAGCAAGCCCTCATTACACTCATCTTAGATGCATACAACACGCATCAACTTCCTCACGATGTCGCAAAAAAGCTGGTATTTTACATCCTTTTTTCCCCAACTATACAGTCAATCATGTAGATCACATGATCAAGCAAATGTTGAAGTGTTGGAGCTGACCTGATCCGTCGGCTGCATCTGTACACACCGAAACAGCTTTTTCTATTTTTAAGTTGCTGTTTGTGTTTTCTCAGAGGAAGTCATCTGTCTTCGTCTTGCTAACATTCATTTTTTTTATCCGCAGCTGCAAGAACAGTACAGCAAGGAGGAAAACTTTCTTCTCTTGACAGAAATTGCAACGAGTCAAGTTCAAGTATTGGTGGAGTTTACAAAAAATATCCCAGGTAGGTAATTCAGAGCAGTTTATCAATACATATTTTTTTTTTTTTTATCGACCTTGCAAATGTTGATTCAAGCTACTTCAGTTTTTACTGCTACAATGAATAATTTCACTTGACAGGCTTTCTGTCTCTGGATCATGAAGATCAGATAGCTCTGCTGAAAGGATCGGCTGTGGAAGCGATGTTTTTGCGCTCGGCCCAGATTTTCAGCAGAAAGATGCCCTTCGGAAACACAAATGTTCTAGAAGAAAGGATACGGAAAAGCGGTGAGTTGCACGAGGATAACAACGGACTCTTCAAACTGGGCCAAACAGTATTCTCCTCTGAATCTGAAGCACAGAAAATCCTCCACGCATCCATTCTCTGTTCCACTTAGTATGGTTACAGGATCATCACAGGACCGTACATAAAGATGTATCAGACAGACCACCGTTCACACTCACACTCACCAGCAATATGGAGTCATCATGCAACCTAACATGCATGCATTTTGAAGATGGGAGAGATCTAGGAGTATGCATTAGGGCCCACATACACACAGGGAGAAGAAGAGAGCTCCACAGGAGTCAGGATTCAAACCAGGAACCCTGCCTGGCTTTGTTTCCAACAAGTTTCATGAACTCCAGCAGCTTTGGCCGAGCCTGACCATGCCCTCTTAAATATTTGATCCGTGTGATGCCGCAGAGAAGTGCGCTGGCCTACTGATCTCTGCCTGGGTGTGGGTTACACAGGCACACACACACACACCCTCTTCGCCGGGCTCCAGTTTCACTCTGTTCAGGTCAAGGTGTACGTGTGTGAATCCTGGCCTGTGGAGAAGAGCAAACGGGCCACTTTTCGTACGATGGTGATAAAGCCCTAAAAAATCCTGCACGCAGTGTTCCGCTGCCTCTCTGTTTGCACACGCTGCATATCATATATTGATCTGTTTACCGGCTTGCTGGGTGAGAAATCATTTATATGGATGTGAGATGTCAGCGTGTCAACCAGGCTGGACAGTTAGACGGACAGCCGCGGTGACGGCAGGAGTGTGTGTTTGTCACCGGGTCCCTCGGAGCTGTTTCGGTGTGAATGGTGGGGATAAGAGATATTCACACTAAAGGCCAGTCTGGGAGAATAAGGCAGCAAAGCTGTCTGAGGAGACCATTGTTTCTTATCAAAACATCAAGAGTGCTATTGTGCTCTTCTCTCCCTTTGAGCCCCACTGGCATTTCTGAAAGCTCGGTGATGTGACCGAGCAGACAGCCTCCCTCAGCCGCTATGAGGAGCGTTTGAAGTAGGAGCTTCCAGTCCTGTGCAACGGCACACTGAGTCAAAACATCTGAATTATATAAAGAGATGCTTAAAAAATTCAGTCTTGTTTATTATTGGATTATCTCTGCTTATTTTATCTGCGTTTTTGTGTGCCGAAGGGTTCTGCGGAAATGTTGAAAGTTGATAAAGGAGGCACATCTTCCTGATGCTACTATTTAAAACTGTTACTTAACTGACACCTGACCTGAAGATTTGTTAATCATAAAAAAAGAAGTTAATAATATAAATGGTTCCTTTTAATCGGTCAGTTTGCGTCCTTCCTGTTCCATCATTTTAACATCGTCTTATGCTTAAAGCTCGGACTTGATCACGGAGAGAGCATGATTTCTTTTGCTTGCTCTATGTTAAATCTTTTCTTTTTTTCAGGTATATCAGAAGAGTTTATTACGCCCTTGTTCAACTTTTACAAAAGTGTTGGTGAACTCCAGATGGTGCAGGAGGAACAGGCTCTCCTCACCGCCATAACCATCCTGACCCCAGGTGAGCCTTTGCAACCAGCCTTTACTGTACTCATCCAGAGCTCGTCACTGTAGGCTTTCATTCAGGCTCCCTAAATCAATATCCACAATCCTCTAGACTTTAAGAGGTTACATAATCCCGGTGCACCTCCTTCCGCCCACAGATCGGCCTTATGTGAAGGATCAGCAGGCGGTGGAGAGACTCCAGGAGCCCATGGTGGATGTGCTGAGGAAGCTGTGCGCCCTGCGGCACCCGAAGGAGCCGCAGCACTTCGCCCGCCTCCTGGGCCGCCTGACGGAGCTGCGGACACTCAACCACCACCACGCAGAGATGCTCACGTCCTGGAGAGTGAACGACCACAAATTCACCCCTCTGCTCTGTGAGATCTGGGACGTGCAGTGACACACGACGAGCAGGGAGGAAGGTCGGGATGAGAGGATGGACATTTCAGTTTGTTTGGGAGGGTGTGAGGATATTTAATTCTCTGAAAAAAAACTTTTTTTCTCCGTTGAGCTTGACTTAATGAATGGCCTGAAGTATTATTTGTGTGCAACGTGACGTTATGGCGGGATTATTATCAGCAGTTCAAAGGATGGGATTTATTTAGCAAATGCTTTTAAAAGGTTTATCACATACAACGAATTGATAAGTAGAACAAGTAGAAATACTGGTACTGGGTCAAAGCGGAAAACATGTTCTCAAAAAGTGTACGAGTTAGATTACATTGGGTCTGATTATGTGTCTGTTCATAGTCTATGTGCAGAATTCATTTGTTATCAGTTAAGGTTTTTTAGAACAAAATTTCAAACAGCTTAATTTTTTATTTTGTTGAGCAGAAAATAGCAGATATATTGCCTTGTCCAAGTTGAACATTATCATGCTTCCCTTTGAAAAAGGTTTCAAAGCTTAAGCTCAATAAAAGAAAGACAGAGGTGTTCAAATTAACCAGATATCAAAATTAAATGCCCATCAACTGATGCAAATTAAACACTACTCTGTGGGTTGTGGTGTGTGTCTTTGTGGACTCCCTTCGGCTCAGTGTGAAGATCAATGAACCCCTTTTTCTTTTGTGAGTCTGTCCCGAGCAGCGTCTCCAGAACGTTGTTGGAGAGGACTGACACTGGCATATGTTAAAGCGTCACCTATGTGAGTGGAGAAATGCATGTTTTCCCAGCAGAAAACTGAATTGAAAAACTCGAGCAGTATTACTCACTGTATTGGTCAGAGATTTGAATGTTATGGCAGTTTAGTGCGTTTCATGTCTGATGAAACCTGTCTGCTTTATATAATGTCGCAGTGTGTAACCTGCAGCTATAGATCATTGACTTTTTATGCCTTATTTACGCTTGCAGTTAACCATCTGCGGATGAAAACGCCTCCATTAAAGGACCACAAAAACCAGTAGAATATATTCACCATTGCTCTGGATTATTTTGGATACTGTCTTTTGTCTTTTTGCTTTGTCTCTCTTCCTATCTGTCTTTATAACTTTATAATAAGTTCTTGTCAGTAAAGTTTAATACATGGTGGTAAGAATTTTAATATGAAGAAGAAAGTACAGTTGGTTTTAAACAGAACAGACTTTCTGTGATTGTAAAAAGTTACAAAGTCCAACATCCACACCAACGCTACATATTCTCCGCCACAGAGGAAACAACCTTTCAGGAATTCTAAAGAATCATTTTAAGTCTATTTTTCCCCCTATACTCTAAATACTGTAGAGTACATGTTTATCTTTTTCTATATTACAGTCCTTTATGAGATTTGGCGCTTTACTCAGGATCCTCCAAACACAAAACTGTTTTCCTGAATCAGTAGACCACGTGACTTAAAATGTGAGTGCGTCCCAGGGCTTTAACACAAGATCTATTTGGGCCTCACGTCTCCCAAAATTCAACAACATCTCTCTCGGTCACCGCCAGCCCGATTCTTTACCAACTGAACTAATCTTACAGGCTGTAGGATGCTAAGAAAAATCCAGAAGACGTCAGAGTTGCTGTGAAATGCACATAAAGGCCAATGATAGCTGCAGTCACAAGGACAGTCACTATGCACACCACCGTCACCAGGACGATTCTGATTAGCATTAAGGTTTCATTATCGAACATTTTCATTATCGTGTGATTTGGCGATCTCTTTATTTTTCAGTGTAACATGAACGATGGAAGATACCATCACACACACACATCTGTGCACTCCCTAATGCTTAAGGTTCTTATGATATCACTAAACGTGCAGTTCTTTGGTTGTGTTACTGAAGACGACATAGTCTTGATGTTAGGATAACATGACGCCCTGTTGGCTTTTTTATGCGGTGTGTTTGGTGGCTGGGGCACGGCAGACATTCACTGATGTGCTCAAGTCACTACAGGAAATCCCACAGTGTTAAGGGTTTGGCAGCTGTGATGCGGTAATGAGATGTATGTTAAAACTGTTAGAAAATGTCCAATATGAACCCGTTCAAGATGAGCCAAAAGATTCACTTCAAGGAAAAGCATGATATGAGCTCGATAAGGCATCATCTGGGGGTACAACAAGTACTGAGCATAATGTTTCAAATAATTCATGTTTGACTGAAAATAAATATACGATATTATGGTAAATTTCAATGAATTTATTTTTTCACAGATAGTACACAAAACATTAATAGAGATCAGTCAATAGTATAAAAGTTTTGTACATAACATGTTTATCTCAGTTATTTATTGCTTACATAGCTATTCTCACCATGCAGAAATCTGTTTAACACAAAAGATAACATTTAACATTTTACTACGAAGAAATTATAAAAAGATAAATGTATTTTTAAATCAAAGGAACAGACATCCAATCTTTTTTATTTTCGTGATGTTTAATAGCTACTTCAGGGCAAGAACCGCCTTTCCTGGTTAGTGTTCATGATTGTGTCAGAGCACCATCTAATGGAGTGATCAGGCACCATACGATACCCCTCAAAGGAAACTATTTACCAGGAAACAAACAAAAAGCAAACAATCCAGCTCTAACAAACTGCTGATCACAGATCCCAAACTCTCTCTGACCCATCCACATTTAAAATGGCTGGCTTTTTTTCTTTTTTTTAAACTAAACAGCTGCTGTCTCCTAAAGACACCATGGAGGGCGAAGCCCCTCATAGCTGAGTTCTGTCTCGGTGGCTTGGGCCCGCCTCTGCTCCAGGATAAACCAGGAAGCCGGAAAACGTGGTGTACCTGCCCTGGTTGCTGTAGACGGCGTAGCGCTCGTCCTGCTGGCTGTACAGCCACACTCTGTCCCCCCTGCGGAGCAGCAGCAGCAGGCTCTGGCTCTGCATCTCCCGTCTCTTCGAAGTGTCCTCGTCGAACACCATGGCCTGCACCTCGCCGTTCCCGGTCATCAGCTTCACCGACACGGCCTTGCGCGGGTGTTTCCCCACGGTGAAGGCAAAGAAGTACGCGCCGGGGAACTGGCATGTGAACAGGCCGGAGGTTTTGTTAAAGTGGCCCCCTATGTTGACGTACTCCACATCAAAGGTCAGAGGCGGCTTCTCGTGATGCCTGCTGCTCTGACCAATGAGCGTGGATGTCCGAGCCACTGAGAAGGCCGACCGCGGCTGCTCCGTTTGATCACCTGGGGACCTGAGCTCAGCCTGAGGTGGGCAGTCGGCATAGGAGAGAGCTGGTGGGGAGAGGTGGTTGCTGATGTAATTGGTTGTCTGGATGTCGGGATAAACTAGGTAACCAGAGAAGGTGATGTAAGGACCAGCATTGCTGTACAAGGCGTACTGAGGGTTCTGCTGCAGCAGGAGCCAAACAGTGTCCATTTCCTTTAAACTGATCATAACACTCTGGCTTTGAACCTTCCTCCCCGTCTTGCGGTAATCGTCGTACGCGATGGCCTGCACCTCCTCCCCGTTCTTCACCAGTAGGATGGAAAGCAGCTTTTTTGGAAACTTTCCCGCCGTGAAGGAGAAGTAGTAAGCCCCAGGGATGCGGCAACGGAAGAGTCCATTGTCTGGGTTGAAATCCCCTCCGATGTTGACCATGAGCTTGTTGAAAGTCACCGCTCTCTGCTTGCCTCCCACCACGCTGCTGGTTCTGGTAGCGGAGAAGGCAGAGCGGAAGCCTGTCGTCACGGGGGGGACATGGAGGGATGAAACCGTTCCAGAGGAGAGGATTGTGACAAATAAACATCCCAGCGAGAGAAGTGAGCTCCACTGAGCTAAAAATCAAGAGAGGGAAAAACAGGGGAATTACTTTTCAATCTAAAGGTCAACAAAAGCAGCCTGAAATTATGTTTATCTTATTTTTTGTAACGTTGAAAATGTTGACTGTTAAATGTATTCACAAAGCAAAGCATAAATGCACAGATTTGTCATTTTATATGTTGTATTACTGGGTGTCTTATTTTTGGAAAGAGATCTTTTCCTTGATCCACTGACAAAGCACCACCATTTTATGTTCATAATTGAATGACAGCCATATAATTACGAAACTGAATTGCTTAAAAGACTAAGTTGATCACCAGGGGTAACTGGTGACAGCCAAAGTGAATCAGCCCATTGGAGACAAGCTTATCAAACCCAGTATTTCCTCCATATGAAATACAAGTTGATGAGGAAGTCTGGCTACTCGCTGTTGACATAAAATCAGGCACTCACTGTGAACAGCAGCCCCTGTAATGTAGCTGATGTGTCTATTCTGCCTGTGCCCAGAGAGCAGAGACTACATTAGGTGCTGGTTCATCTGTTCCTATGTGTGTCGAACAATGGAAAATTTCAGAGGGTTGGTGAGGTGACGTGGGGCAGGCCAGAGCAGAGCGCCAAAAGACATAGAAAAATATGAGAGAGCCATTACTTTGAAGTATAGATCACAGGGTTAAATGATCCAATCATTAATCCAACAACATTTCTGTGGGAGCTGGATCTTTTTTTCATATTTCCCACGTACTGCAGTGGTTTAGTTGTGCAGCACTTTTTGCTGCACGTTTTGGGGGGAAACATATATTTTTCTTGAATCAAGATCACTGTCAACCCCTCAAAAAATTCACAATGCTCACATGCATGGGAAACATGGATTTAAAAAAAAGGTCAGAACATTACAAACATGCTCCATTATCTTGACTACATGGGTGGAAACTAACCAAACGTAAAGGCTGGGGACATGAGTAATTGCAGGCTCATGTTTGAAACATGGTGGTGTTCCCTGTAATATGCATATTTTACAGGAGCCTAATAACAGATATTTAGACCCCAGCTGTGCTAGAAAAATCAAGGCCAAGAGCAAGCAAAAGAATACTATTATGGGAGCCAGAGGATTTGTCCTGCAAGTTGAAAACGAACTTTACAAAACCACATCTAGACGTTTAGAAGCAAAACACTACAGTGCAGGGAAATGCTGTGCTCTGGATGACAACACGTCATGTTAGAGCAACTTAAAGAAAGTAGAAAGTTGATGCAGTGATTCAGGTAATCTTAACAGAAAATAACAATTCTCAAAACACAAACGCATTTTTTAAGTTACTTTGACCCAACCAAAGGACACAGAAATGAAACCTAAAAAATAGCATGTCTTTTTCTTTACAGCATTTGCATAAAAATTAGGCAAATCCATAAATATTTAAGTAAATATAAGTTGAGTACAAGACACAAAAATGTTAAACCCACCTGTTGAGCTTAGGTTCGACAGAAAATGCATAGTGGACTTATTCTTGGTCAGGTCTTTACATAAAGTTCCTGCGAGTGTGAAGCACCTCTAATGTAACAGGTCTGACAACCACAGGAATGAAGCTTTTGTCCATCCAGAAATGAGTGGAGGTGGAGCCCCAAACCCCCTCCAATCTAGTGCTCTTCTTCAGCCTTTATTGGAAGAGAAGTGAACAGGCAGCTGTATTATGAAGCCTTATTGACCCTCAGAAGTGATAAGACTATTCCATGTGTTGTTTTGTCTGGAAAAAAGTCAGGCACATTCTACAGCATGTTCCGAAAAATGCTTGCTTCCAGTATTAGCAGACAGTATAAGCCTTGTTCATATGGGTAGTAAAGGTTTTGCTGCTATGCTGGAAGAACTTATCTTTCAACCAAATGTTCTAAATGATGAAATTCAGTGTATTGGGGGAAATTGTACGATTTTTTTCTTCACTGACAAAAGTTGTATTATAGAAATGTAATTCAATTCAAATGCAAAATATTGAATTAAATTAGCTTTAATGTAATTAATCAGCACTTCAATGTAAGAATCACAGGAAAAAGGGGGTTGTTTCTTACCTGCCTCTGAAAATATCTGGCTTGGCTTCAGGCAATGTAACAAAGCTGGTATTGGTGTAATTTGATGCAGGTATAAGGCTATACAAAATCATGAATAGGTGGGAAAAATAAGAATTTCTAAGGAATGCAAATCACAACAATATAAATAAAAACAAAATGGAGTATGAAAATTGTCTTCTATCCAAATGCTAAAAAAATAATTCTTAAATAATATTTTTATGTAAAATATTTTTCTTCACAACATAAACTTTAAGGAGAAAGGTTTCTTGAAAAATAAGTTAGTTTCCTCTCTGTTAATCCAGCATTTTATGGGGCTATGTGACAGAAATGTCTGTATTTCTTTTTTTTAAAAACGTTTCGATAATATTACTTTTCTTTATAAATTAAATGTGAAAACTTACATGGATTCCAATAGGGCACCGGACAAGGCATCGGACAGATGCTCGTGCCCTCCATCAACTATCATGACGTAGCGAACCCGGAAGACGTGTGATTGCTGTCAATGCCAACGACAGAGAGAAGGCACCGAGAGCTAAAAGCCCGCATTTAAGACAAGATGGCAGGACTGCCCCGCAGGATCATTAAGGTAAACATTTGCATTTTTTTTAAACTGCGCACTTTTCTGTAATGACAGTTAAAACCCTCCATGTGTGGATTAAACCCCGCACGCTTTTCTGATACGCCTACTGAACAGTTTTGTGCGATAAAATTAGCCGCCAGTCGGCTAGCGTTAGTTTGGTAAAGTAACTTCCGCTTCTGTCCTGTGCCCAGATGCACCGACGTACGGTTGGTGTATTATTAACCGACACACTGAAAAGGTAGCGGGAAATTATGTGTGCCTGCCTTATCATCTCTAATAATATTTCTCAATTCCATTGTGGTTAAAAGTTGCTTCTTTTGCCAGCAGAATTGCTGGACAATCTGGCTAGCAATGCTAACGCCAGCTAGTTGTTGTTAGCTTTGATTTTGAATGATAATACAGCAATGGAGCTGGCGCTCACCTTGATCTTTGTTACATCTGGATTTATACTTTTACTGTTCAAGGACTTGCTGGTGTAGACTTTTCTTTGGACGCCGTTTTACTTTGGTGTCCATTTCTCAGAGGTTTGTGTGAGTCAAACGTTTTCTTAAAGCCCATAGGCCATATGCAGTGACTTCAAATAATGGGCAGATGATCAACACCTGATCAGAAATTCCTTCCTTTGCAGAATTTGTCTGCATGGCCCGTTCTTACTAAACAGTGCTAGCTATCGATGTTAGCTCTCCTTCAAAAGAGGATGGTGAAGCCCTCCAAATAACAATGATGATGTTTAGAACAACTGAAAGTCCTGAAGAAAAAAAAAACTGAATCAGATTTTATATTAATTTTTATTTCTGTAGTTTTTTTTAGGGACTGTTGATGCTGTGCATCTCCTGTTGGCAAGCTTAATTCAGGATTGGATCCAGTTACAACAAGAACTTATTTTCAAGCGGAAATTGTCAGTTTGAACCAACATCAGTTAGTGTTTATCATTCGTTCAGCATTCCCTCTGAAACCGGCTGCAGGTTTTGGGTAACCATGGTGGATCTGAGAGACAGGCGGAGCTCGTAGAAAGAAAGCAAAGTCAACACTGAAAGGCACAATGTGACCAACAGTTTTTCATTTGGAGCTGTCTTGCAGTGAGGACACGGTGCAGACGGTTGTGCTAGTCCACTGCAGAATTATTCAAAGTTAATGCAAATGTAATATTCGTTTTGCTTATTGAATGTTAAATGCTCCTGGGGGCACGGGGTAATGTGTTGCATTATTAAGTATTTAGTGCATACAAGGATGAAATGGGGGAAAAAAATCCATTTTAACTTTTCTTTTTGAGGCACCATATTTCCAAGCACTACTTATTCATCCTTTTTTTTAACAACTGTTTCATGGAAAGTTGATAAATGTAATCTTGAGAAAAAGATTAATTGTTGAGGCTTGACAGGTGTGAGAGGGCGCAGACTTACAGGCTGGGGGTGGATTGGAAAAGGTTGGAGGACTGGGAAGAGCTGGGAGTGGGCCGAGTCCTTGAGCCCCCAGAGCGTGTGACTGCGACTGGGAGCCCCTCTCTTGTCTGTGTTTTCACTGCACGGTTTTGTCTGTGGGTTATCTGAAACATTTCAGGAATCTCACTCCCAGTTACATTGAGGAAAAGGTTGTAAAACAACAAGCATGGTGGCCGCTGGCCAACTTTATTTCCCTCTCCCTCTTTTTTCCTTGTCCGTGTAGTTTTTGATGCTTTGTTGCCAGGCGGCCATTTCAAACGGCCAAAGTTGAACCTTTTATTTTTATTTTTACGTTTTGAGATGAAACCAAATATGTTTATAAAGGCGAATAATCGATTGTGGTTTAACAAAAATATCGTCTTATTTAGCAGCGTGTCTTAGCGCGGTGTTTGAATGCCACCTACACGGGGCTTTCACTGTGGGTGTGAGTCAGGAGTGGCCTCACTGCAGTGACTGGCTGGTAATGGAAGCGCTGGCCTCCTGCGGCGTGGTAGCTGAGTCAATGTCACTTCAAAAGGTAGCGACACACTGCACAGTCTTCAGACTCAGCACTGAGCCAGCATTGCAGTGAACCCCCCCCCCCCATTTAAAAAAGATGAATCGAGTCTACCCAGTATTTTTTCAATACGATACTTTCCTATCCGACGCTAATTTAATTGGATAATGTACTGCAACCTGTTCAAAATAAAATGCATGCCATTTCTTATTGTAACCTATGGCCCAGCTTTGTTTGTGTCTCACATGAAATTTTCCTTAATTTTTATTTTTGTCTATACTGAGCAAATATTTCTTTCTGTATGACTGCTTGGTCCATTCAAGTATTTTATAGTTAGTAACACAACGAACAACAGTGATGCAGCCAGTCAAATTTTGGGGTAAATTTGCCTTCTGTTTGCCCAGTGGGAGTAGAGAAGCCTGCCTTTAACTGAACACTTTCTAACACTGATGGCATTTTTTCATGACAAAAATCTTCCATTTATTTGCAATAACAAAGGAATCGCCTGTTCCTCGCTCCTGTTAAAGGCAGGTGAGGAGCTGTGGGTCAGCCATCTGTGACCGTGCTGTGTGGTGACAGGATGCTGAGGCAGAGTAGCACACATGCTGTAGTTCTTTCTGTAGAGCTGTATAGATTCTGTGGTAAAACACATTCACTTGTAAGTTGATCTTTTATATGCTTTTTGTCGTCTTTTTTACCAGGAAACCCAGCGCTTGCTGGCAGAGCCCGTTCCAGGCATCAAGGCAGAGCCAGATGAAGGCAACGCCCGCTATTTTCATGTGGTCATTGCTGGACCTCAGGACTCACCCTTTGAAGGAGGCACATTCAAACTTGAGCTCTTTTTACCAGAAGAATATCCCATGGCAGCCCCTAAAGTACGGTTCATGACCAAAATATATCATCCCAATGTGGACAAACTGGGAAGAATATGTCTGGACATTTTGAAAGGTAAGCCATGTCTTTAACCCTTTGGTAACGAAGGCTAAAACACAGAGACTTTATCCATTGCCTGTTTTAATCTTCCTTTTATCTTTTTTTTCAGATAAATGGTCACCCGCTCTTCAGATTCGTACAGTGTTGCTATCAATCCAGGCTTTACTAAGTGCGCCCAATCCTGACGATCCCCTAGCAAACGATGTGGCCGAAAAGTGGAAGTCCAGTGAAGCTGAAGCCATAGAAACAGGTGAGTGCTGTGGTCGGCTCTGGTTTGTCTCTTTTTTTTCCCCACCTGTGAATCTGGTGCTTATGACTAAATACCGTAGGTGTAAACGATAAAAGAAAAGAAGAAAAACATATTTAAAAAGGAGGCAGGACTTAAGCTTGGGTGACGTGGACAGAGACGACTTCAGTCTGATTAAACTGAAACAAGGATGCTCCTCATAACATTTATAAGATACATTTGATACACAGTGCATTGTAACTGTTTATGTGCACTTTAAAAACAAAAACGTATTCTTTTTATTATCCACATAAAGATCAGAGACTCAGTAACTTTTGAGGTATGTTTTCAAGTTTGACTTCTGCTTAATTCAGGATGGATTTATTTGTTCTCACAGACTGACAGCCGTTGGGTCTGTTGATGGCCACAACTTCAGTGGCTTTAGCTGTTTAATTCAGTTTTCTTTTGTGTACAAAGTGCCAAATACAGTTCAATACAAGTCATTTTAATACCATCACAATCCAATAATATAAATTGGACTATAATTAAGTTTATTTCATGCATAGCCAACTTGAAAAGGATTTTCTTTCAGCTGCCAGGTTAATGCAGCTAGTCGTCCATTCAGTCCATTTGCTTTACTGTAAATGCACTGTAAAAGCAGCCTCCTTTGTACAGGTTAACAGAGTGTAGGGCGGGTTTGAAGAGGCTCACGATTTGAGGCAGACGTCATCATCTGTAAAGCTGATGCAGTTTACCCAAATGGACACTAAGCATCTGTCCTCTTAATGTTTGTTTAAGATAACAAGTCAGGAAGGCACGCAAATATGCCTGTGTTATGAAATCTGAATAAAACTGAGGTTAACTGAGTTCTGATTCATACAGTCACAACCCCTGCGTTTGTTTTTCTTTTTCCTGATGCTTGTCTCTACAGCCAAGACATGGACCAGGCTTTATGCTGGCAACAAAAACGAAGTGTAAGGCCGACAGATGGAGACACAAGAGAAAGTCAAGTGTATGAACACAACTTGTGCTGCCAAGACCTCCTCCTGCTTCATTTGCATTTAAAGGACACAGTCTTTTATTTTATGTGTACATATATATATACATATATGTATGTATGTATGTATGTATGTATATATACATATATATATATACACGTATGTATGTATATATATATATATATATGACAACTTTAAAACAACTGCTGATATTTGGTGATTTAAATGCACACTAGTAATGAAATGACTCGTCTATGTCCTAACTCACTACTATTCAAATGCATGGGCAGAGATTTAGATCTACTCACCAGGCTCTCTTTGTCTGACGGGGGGTCTTAGATCCCACACATTTGGGGGTAATGTGGGTTTTTGGGGGGTGGCAGAGAGGTAGACCGAGTGGGGGGGATGAGAGACTGGCTAGATGTGGTCAATATAATATCCTTTTTTATGTTTCTTTTAACTTTTTGTTTTCTTGTGTCGCTGTTTGTTGCCTAAAAGCAGCTAACTACTACTAGGCCGCTGTATGTAGAAACTCACCCGGGCAGTTTGGTCCTCTGCATATCGCCCAGCAGGACTCCAACAATCATTGCTCTTCTTTAAGTCACATTTGGCTTCATTAGGTATAAATAGATAGGACTAAAAACCAAACTGAGCCGGTGCCACTTTGTCTCTTTAACCACTTTCAGTGTAGACTTGCATGTACTCCCGGCCTCTGGACAGCGAGAGCACGGTGGCTTCCATAAACGTCGAGGACCTTAGTTTCAGCACATGCAGCGTCTGTTATTACAAAATCCTTTTTTATTTTTACCTGATCTTTTCATACTCCATGCACTAATTACTCTTTCTATTACTTTTTCATCTTTTTATGTCATCTCAGTCTTATTCAGCAAGACTTAGTGGTTTACCTACTTCCAGTGGTATTTATTTCACAAAGCAGCGGTTACATTTGAGCCATCAGTGGTCTGGCAATGTGAGTGGAGACTGCACTGCTGGGATAAGAGTTTTGGGGGCAGTGGCGTTAAATACATGCTGGACTGACGACAGATCAAACTCCAACAGCTTTGACTTTAGACTGCTGTAATTGGTCTGCTTTCAGTTCACTGTGTAAATTAATTCAGCCTCTCGGGATCTCAAATGAAAACGGTTTCCTGCTCCCAGAATGCTATGAAACAGTTCACCTTCATACTTGTATGTTCTGTAAATAAAGTCTGTTGATTAATAAATTGTTTAATTGTGTGCTTATTGAAGTAACAAATGTTTGATGCGTATTTAGTTTCCCGAGTACCACATTTGATTTGTTTTTCAATGCTGTTTGAGGTGCAAACCATATTTCAGCATATTACATGCAGGGCACTGTGTCTTGTGGACCAAGGTTTGGAAACACTGCTCTTGCTAAGTAATCAAAGTTTGGATTCAAACTTTCTTGAATAGTTTGATGCCAATAATTGTTTATCACGACTTTAGATTTTTCCATTTAAAGGCTTTGTGTAGGCACAACTTTGCAACACTAGGGGGAGGCCAGAGCTGGAAATGTTTAGCATCTGACCACATTAGTGCTTTCCAGCAAATGTGGAGGGTGCCACCAGACGTGTACACACCCAAACACTGCAGGAGTTTGCTTTTGTTTTGTTTTTTAAAACCTAATTTCCTCCTTTAATTTTCAATTCAACATAACATATCTAGCAATTACGTGCGCCATTTTTACAATTATGCCAGTTTTCTGCGCCAAGTCAGCCGTTGATGACCAGTGTAAGTCCGGATGCACTTGTCATTTATTTAGGACTAGTTGTTTTTGTGTAGACGCAAAGTGGGAGGATGGAGGGCTCTCTGTGAATTGGTTGATCTTTTACCACGTGGCTTATCTGAACACAGACATGGGAAATGTTGACTTTGTGCTATATCTCTTTTAAAAATTAACTTTCACGTATTCGTAACGAGAAACACACAGGCAGAATGTGGGGAAACCAAAACACGACTTTAAAGACTGTAGACTTAAGCAACTATTATCCGAAACCAATTTCAAGGCCATGATTTGACAAAACATGTTTTTCTAAAAAAGCAAACATCTCAGGCTGAAAGGAAGGTCTCGAGAGGCACCTGAAGGCATCATTCCGCGCCACTCGTCTCGCGCGCTTCGACACAGAGCAGCGTAGCAGGCAGAGTCCGCGTGCAGCTAGCAGCTTTATAAAGAACTGGCTGGTGTTGATGTATGTCGAGGATGATGGACGGCGCTCGGCTCGACATGTGCGGCCACTTGTTGCGCAGTTCCCGGGTCAGCTGCTCGCGGCTGCGCGACGCGGCACAGATGTGAGAGACTTTGTTGGGCCGTGCGTGTTGACAGCGGCTGTAAAAACCAACGACGGCAGATGCGACGCGCGACCAGATGCAGCCCGACATTGTCTCGTGGAGCCGAAATGAATGAACCGGCGGCGCGTTTCAGTTTCGGGACTCTCTGAACAGTCTTTCCTCGAGAACCGGTGAAATTGAGACTTTTCATCTGAGCCCTTTTTTTTGTATTTTTGTATTTTTCATTTTTTTTTCTGGCACCCGAAGAATAGAAAGCATATATGATGAAGTTTAAGCCCAACCAGACCAGGACGTACGACGGAGAGGGGTTCAAGAGAAGAGCGGCGTGTCTGTGTTTCAGAAACGAGAAAGAAGACGAGGTGAGCTCCGGGGGTCGAAGTTTACGGTTCCTGTTTGCTCCAGGGAGAGGGCACGAGTTAAGAAGCTCTATTTTTGACGGCCCCAAAACGAGCTGCGACACTCTTCCCAAACCGTAGCGTTCCCGGTCGGTGTGCGGACTTGTCAGACTCCTGGAGTTAGCCTTCAGGCTTGGGGGCAGGGGTCAAAGGTCAAAGGTGATCCGCGGAAATGTGACCTATCAAACGGCAGTAAGCGTTCCGCCAGCAGGAGGAAATCTTTACGACTCGTAATTCATAAAGATGAGGCATCCCCCACGACCAGAACTATTGTCAGTGACACCCAAGAATTTATTTGGTGACATATCTATTTGACCAGACATGTATTTCACAACTCTAAAATCGTGTGTGAATAAACTTAGCTGCCACCGGTAACAGGAAGCTTATAAATAACTGCTGTCATTAGAGAAACTGTGTTCAGTCACAGAGCCTGTGTTTGTTTGGGATGGAGCCTCTCCTGCTGTCTCTCTGGTCTGATGCTAGACTTTTCTTTGGATGTTTGGTTTTCACAGAGGTTTTGTGATGAAACACACACACCCACACACACGGGCACACAAACAATGTGACTGACCGGAACTGCTTGGCTCCAAATCAAGAGAGAGGGACTTCCATTAAGTCTCTCCTCGGGCTCTGTTATTGAATCTGTCATCCTGCCACATGTGGGAATGTGCATCCTGTCTGGTCACTTTTGACATGAAACAGTGTTTGGAATGACAATGAAAGCTCGGATAATATTTGAAGCCGCTATACAGTTGTGGGTGGGGGTGTCGGGCTAATGACGGCAGCAAGTTTAAGGACCACATGTGATAGGAGTGTGGGGTGGGGGGGGGGCGAGTGCCTGTTACACAGTGTGCCAAGTGACCCATTGGCTGCAATTTATAGAAACAAAGTGCGGGCACTCACTGTCCCCCTGGCAGATTTGCTTTCCGGCTCCTTGGGTTTATACCCTCTTCACCCGCTCGGTGTTTTTCGCTGTGGTTCCTCCGTGCCGTACAAAGGAGATGAGGGCCTGTGTGATCCCACCTGACGGCGGCGCAGGACGACGAGACGGCCTCACGTCTCGTCCGTCTTTGCTTTCTCATTTCGCGTGTCAGGTCTGATGTTGTCAGCCATCCATCTGATCTGCGTGCCTAGTTTACGATGGCTTCCTCAGGACGTGGGTTTGATTCTGGGAGGGAAGCAACAGGTCTGCATGGACCAGACAGGATGAGTCCATGTGATGGAAAAATGGGCCCTGCCGTGTGATCATATTTAATTAATGCAAGGTTTATCCTCACATGGTTGCCATTTAAAATAATTAAAAACAAAACTAATCTGTAATATGCACATGTAATATAATAGACATACAACAGAACAAGGAATGTGTCAGAAAGTTGAGGGTTTTATGTAAAACATCTTCAGTTTGATGTCAGCAACCCAAAAGCTAGGCTGAAAGGCGGGAAAGTACGAGGCCACTATAAAGACACAACTTTGGCTACCTTACTAAATATACCCAATCGGTGCCATAATTGCATGTGTTTAAACAAGAATTAAAAAAAGAGCACCTTAAATAATGTCCCAGAAATTGAAGCAAAAATTGAAGTAAAAAAGCAAAACAAAACACAAGTATACGACAAATTGTCGACTCAGGAACACTTCTAGAGATGAACTGTGGTCACAGTTCACTCCCACAAATGCAGGTGCAAACTGCATCTGGCGAGGCAGAGGTAATATGTGAACAGGATCCAGAAACGTAGGTCTCCTCTCTACACAACGGCTCATTTTAAAAGGTCTGAAGCCAAGTGGGGTACTGCTGTGTTTATATCCAAAGCTGAGACGAGAGGGATCGAACCTCTAAAGCACCTTGAATCATGAACCAACAGCAAACTGACTCTCATCCTAATGCTAAGGTTGCTAGTGCTAATGGTGGAAACCTGATGTTTTAGTTTCTTAAAATATGACATCAGTTGATGGTGTTTGAGCCGGATTATCAGCAGACTGTAAAGCTGCTGTATGGATGCGGCCTCTCAAAGCTCTTCCTGGTGCTAAATTCCCACTGAGGTGTGTGTGTGTGTGTGTCTGTGATGCTCGTTGGGGTCATTAACCTCCTCTGCTAAGCTCTTTGTTGTTTCCATAAAGAAAGACAACTGCTGATCCAGTGGTTTTTGAAAGCCTTGCAGCTCTACGTGCGAGTGTCGACGTGCTTGACGGGGTGTTTGCGCAGAATTGTGCACCCATGTGTGGGTTGTGTCTGTTTGTGTGAGAGAGGACTGGCATTGTGTCCACAGTCCCCGGTGCCCTGCATGGGGAGTGTAATGTACAGTGATTCAGACCAAAATTTGTCCTGAATTTGCATGAATTTTCAGCCAGTTTTTATGGATGTATCAAAATGACTATCTGAGTGAAAATGGAGAGATGAAGAGCGGGTAGGTGGGAGTTTTTGTTACCACAGAAACGGGTCACTGAAAGAGATGTCACATGACAGACCTGTACACTCTAATTCAGCCCCCCCCCAAACATGATTATTGACTGTTTACAGCTTCAAAAATAAGCCATGTGTTCCCCAGACAGTTTGCTAATGCAGGACTGGAGACTGAGTCCCACCCACATGCACTTAAGCATCAGTGTCACTCATCCAAAGCCTTTAAACCGGCAAAAGGGATCTACTTTTGTACATTTAACAAACACGAGAGATAAAAATCAATCGATGGAAAAGTTCTGCCCTCTGTTAGCCTGGTCACAGTGATTTAGAATCCTGAGTCTTGAGACCTGTTCTTTAGTATCACTGGTTTACAGGAAAAGATCTGATATGAGTCATCTGAGTTTCTCTCCAACAGGAATTAAACTGAATCAAATATGTCATTTTCTTTTTTTTCTTCTCATGTGTGCCATGCTCCCTCTGTTGGGTTTATTGCCATAAGAAGCAACAGGCCGCACGTGTCCGGTTAGCTTAGGGCAGGATTCAGAAAGTACTCACACGTGAACTTGATCTGGGTCATTGTGATGCCAGATAGGATTTAAGGGTCAAGTGACAGCATCCGAGAGGTTCTAAAACGCCAAGTCGCAGGTGTCAGTTTGTGGCTTTAATCAGATTATTTGGTTTAATGTGAGGCCTGATTGGTTTCTAAGTGACATGTTCTTTAAAAATGGATTAATTGTCAGGGACATGTTGCTATCCAGATAGTCGGTATTCAGACCATCATGTAGGGCAGCCCCATCTACCTTGATGTAGTTCTAAGGAAATAAAGCGAATGACCCGTTTTGATATGCGAGTTGACATTCGATTTCTGCGACTCGTGAATGAGGGACGTGTCAGCTGGCTTTAAGGTGTGGATGGGCCCCGATGAGCCGCTCCACAGCTGTCTGCAGCTGAACTCTGACGGCAGCTTCTCTCTGGAACAGGTGCTGTTGGTGAGCAGCAGCCGGCATCCAGACCAGTGGATCGTACCGGGAGGAGGAATGGAGCCTGAGGAGGAGCCCTGCGGAGCGGCTGCCAGGGAGGTGTACGAAGAGGTGAGCACGCCACACACACACACACACACACACACACACACACACACACACACACACACACACACACATACAGACACACACACACGCTCAAAGGGGTCTCATCACTACATGCAGGTTCAGTTTAAATTGGTGATTCATTATAAATACCAACTTTACTTTACATACAGTAAGTATTTTTAAGCTATTTATTATGATGTTAACACCACTTCTGGTCATTTTCTTATGGATGTCGCCCCTTTCTAAGTCACTATAAAGACTTCAAACCCTTTTTGTTAATTCTTATTTGAGATAGGATGTCAAGGGGGTAACAAGGGGGCCTTTTCTTTTAACAGCTGGTATATTTATTTAGTTCGTGATGTGTCACGTGACTGACTGCTGCCATCAGGGTTTAGAGAAATAAGGTATTTTTGTGGTTTTTGAATAGAAGGATGGCAGAAATTTAAAAGCCTAAGAGTTCTGAGAGCCCTGTCGTACCACTGCAAATGAAATAAAACTCAAAACCATCGTTTCTGCTCTTCAACGATTCACAGCGTGGCGATCTGGCCCAGAGGGACTTCAAGGACCTGTTGTATTGGTTTTAGCAGAAACTTCGCCGCTCACAGTAAGAGCAAAATCCAAGGCACGGAACAAATATCTGGCATAGATGGACAGTTAATTAGTTTTGTGGTTTGTTACGGGGGGCTGCTGGTTGCTGGCCAGAGGATTTTACAGCAGAGTGAGCTGTGAATCGTGTGGTGTGCTCACAGCCTTGAAGAATGGCAGTGACATTTGGGAAGGGTTTCCAGTTACCCACATCCTGCGCCCTGCAGACCAGACATGTACCTGGATATAGACTGGCTGCACCCCCACTGCAGAGGGCAAACTAACAATCTAACATATAAGAACGAGTTCTCCACACCTCCTGGCATCAGTGTGACAGGTTTACTGAGCAGCTTCATTTGCTTTATGAATCCTGTGAAATGACAAGAAAAAAAAAAAATGGAAAGCTGAAGTAGATTTTTGTCATATTTGGTTTAAAACTCAGTGCAGTAAAGAGAGTTTTCTGAAACTGGGACGTGGTAATTCTCTGTCTGTTATAGAGGTGTTTCATATGTCCTGATCTAAAAACGGAGGACAGGTCTGAAAAATGCCACACAGCAGGCGTCAAAGGTTCTAAACAGAGCTGAGATCTCCTGGAATGCATGTCCTCTTCCCCTGGCCGGCAACAGGGAGACCCTTTTTTATATACATAAAAAGCTGAAAACACATGCTCTATCTGAAGGGAAGATGTCTCTGATTTTTTGGGAATAAAGCTGGTTGTCCATATCACTTTTTTTGTCGCTCAGAGAAAATAAGGACATAAACATTGTTTTGAATGAGAAAACCACCTGCTTCAGGCCAGCTGAGGGACTCTCAGCGTCATTCATCACACCTTCTGTCAGTCATCCTCACCTTTGAATGTGTTAAACCAAATGAGGGAGGAGTGCCTCAGAAAGCACAGAAATCAAACTGACATCTTTTGAGCCATGAAGCTCAGTCTATAACTCACTTGCCCTGTAATCATGAGGCTGTAAACTGGCCATGGAGGACGGCTTTATCTGAACATTCAAATATTTGAAGAAGTCAAACTATCCAGAATCTCGTAAAGGAAACACAAATATGTCAAAGAAAGGAACACGATAAGCCTGCCGGCCCCTCCGGTCACAGATCACAGCCTGGAGGATGCGTGTGGGCTGGGTATGGCTCCCCCCGGCTAAGCTCAGCTGCCACCCCTCGTCTGAGGGAGTCAGACTGTGCACAGGCAGAAATGGATCCCCCGCCGCCCCGCCGTCCACATGGCGTTACCTGCTCCCCTGAGCGGGGCCGTCTCACGGGGCACGTGGCCTCGCTCCGGCCCACATGGCCTCCTAACTTAGATCAGCCAAACGGTCCACTTTTACAAAACACTATGCGGTGACTTTCAATTTTTCGATAGAAACTGCTCCCTCAAACATGCGTTCCCCTGAACTGGTGCTCATCTGTGTGCAGGCTGGCGTGAAGGGGAAACTTGGTCGACTTCTTGGGATATTTGAGGTAATATTTTCAAACTGTCTCTGATGTTGAGTTAGGTTTTGTTCACGTGTGTCTGGGTTAAAGAGCCCTTTTAACATTTTTTTTTTTTCTTCATGAAAAGAAAGCGTTGATCTTTTCATCTTCACGTTTTTCCAGCACAATCAGGACCGAAAGCACAGGACCTACGTCTACACCCTCATAGTGACAGAGATGCTGGAGGACTGGGAGGACTCCGTCAACATCGGTAGGCATTTCATTAGTTTCTGTTATCTCATATGTAGCAGATCTACAGAGAAACAGTGAACAGAGACTCTAATACTTCATCTATTTTAAAATGGTTCACATGGAGACTTTTGATACAAGCCATGATTAAAAGAAAGTAAATCTTTTTTCTTTCTTTCTATTTTTCATGCACAATGTGATCATTCTTGGATGGATTTAATTTGTTTGGACATTCTGTTTGATGGTTTTCTTTTTGGACAGCCTCGTCTCGATGTGATGAGTCTTAAATAGTTTATTCAGTGACTGTTAATGAACATTCCCTGAGCTAACAAAACAACAGGAAACCAGGCTGATTCCACAGATGTTTTTTTTCTTTTTTTTATCATGTTTATTGGTATTTATCCTTTACTGGCACATGTTTCTAAATGCTGTTGCTAGTTTTGCTCTTAGGTGTCACAGGTGCCTCTGCAGATCCTGTAAATGCTCCTTTTAATTTTTTCAGTCTGAAACCAGGATCACTCAAGCCTTGCACTTCTCTGTCAGAGGAGTGATTGCATTAAAAATAATTGAGATGTCACTTAAAGATGTCTTGCCAGATTTATAAGCATTGGTAACCTTTTCTCTTAAGGTGTTCTCTGCACGTCTTGAAACATTTTAAGCTTATTTATCAGAAGCACCAGCCAGTATTAAACATACATCCCTGAACGGTCAGTCGATCAGGTTACAGACTAAGTATTTCTGCTCTGCAGAAGTGGGCCTGCAAAACCCGAAGTGAGAGGAAAAAACAACTACAGTGTAACGACTAAAGACTTACACGAATCGCTCCTCTTGTTCTCCGTGTTCTTTGCAAAGCGCACAGCTCATTTTGGCCCGCTTAAAAGTTGCCAAAGACCACGTCGGCGCTCTTTAGAACTCCTGCAAAATCCTGTTATTTACCAACGCCTCGAGCTCCGCACTTGTTGTACAAAGCAAGCCGCATAGGGACGGGGGAGGGAGCGTCAGGATTTTCCGTCCTGCTCCCCTGGCTGTGTTTTGACAGATCTCCATCAGTGTGACAAAACTGAATTGAAATCCCGACATAATTTCAGGATGGCTGCCAGCCAGCCTGCGGCAGACCACCACGCATCAGAGCAGCGACCTTAAAAAGATCCGCGGCTTCAGGCAGGAGCGGCCTCGCCCGAAGGGAGCAGAGACGCCCAGAACATGAGCGGGAAACGGTGGATCAAACATTCCATGTAAATGCTGAGCAAGTCAACTTGCGTTGATTAGCGCTCAATCACTAGTTCGCTCCAAGATGTCAAATTACTCAGAAAATCGGTTTTCTTTGCTCTCGTGCCGCCAGAAGATGTGCACAGCCAGGGCCCGGACGTCACATTCTTTTCGCATGTTAGAAATGCTTGACAAGGCCTACCCCAACAGCCTCTTTGTCACATCAGATGAGATGTGCAATTTTCTCTAGTTACCATATTGTGTAATTGGGCCCCTTTCAGAGAGCGCTCTGAGGAAAATTAAAGGATGGCGCTGTCTTCATTTCGTGTACACAGAGCCTCTGTTTACATGCGCCACTAAACACGCTCTGTCTCAGAGCACTGGAGGTTGTGTGTGTGTGTGTGTGTGTGTGAGTGTGCGTGGGGGCATCATTCCCCATGGAAATCTGTAAAAGCGGAACACTGTTAAACGATAGCCGTGTCTTCCTTGTGTGTTGTTGCTGTCACTTATCTTTGTGTCTTGTTGGAAAATAGGTTTTAATGTTTGGGATAACTGTCCGTGCTTAATTTATTTATTTATTTTTTAATCACTAAAAACACGGCATTTAAACAGCCTTTTTTATTTGAACCTTTTTTCTATTGATAAAAATCAAACGGTATTCTTATTCTGATCATCAATCCTTTAGTTTCTTAGTGACCGGAGAGGCAAAACTCAACAGCACAGAGAGAGAGTGTAGGGGAGCAGACAGATGGGCCGCAGACTCACTGTGTTTTTATTTTATTTAAGGACATTTTGGGTCATCTAGGATTTGATATCAGAGAGACGAGCTGTGAGTGTCTCACTGTTTCAGGGACCTGTGGGTTTTGATTTCATACACAACTGAGTGTCCTCTACTCGTGTCCAAAGAGGACAAACTTTGTGTTCTCACGTGAGCTGGCCCTGAGTCAACGTGCACACAGAAAGGAGGAGGGGAACTAAGAGCTTCCCCTTGAGGAAGAAAGCAGCTCAACCAAAAGCAATTCCGTGCAACAGAAAAAATGCTCTGCCGGAGATTTTTAAAGGCACCGGATTGAGGGGCTAGAACCCTCTAAGTCACCATTACATTTGAAAAGTGTTGATTAAACAAGTCATATCCAAACTACTGTACAGCCTGTGACTCAGCATTTAAAAGCACGCTAATGCTGAGGGGACAATCGCTCAGAGGCTGATGAGGCATCCAGGCGTCCTCCATCTGTGGAATGAAGTGAATGCTCTTGACCTTCCGTGTCTTCAGCCCTAAAATACTGAGATGAAAATAAAGCAACAAAGAGTTCCCTCTGTGAAACAGAAGTTACTTTATTGCGGGTCAATAGATTAACCCTCACACTTTTTATTTGAAGAACAAAAAAAGCTATTTTGTCTGTTCCCATCGACATTATTCTCTCAGATTTCCAGAAGGAAAGAATAATACTTTGTTTTGAATGTGCGTAGCTTTGCATAGATCTATTACTGCTCTGGGAAAAAATGAATTGGAATCAAATGTGTAATCAAACAGGTGTGGAAAATGTGATTTTGGTTGTTTATTTCCATCGTTGACTGAAATAAAGTTTGGCCTGTTGAAGGGGAGCAATGTTCCCTGCTCCCTGTTGCTTTCCCGTTAGCATCACTTAGGACTGTTGTCTGCGGTCGCTGAGCAAAAAGGGCTTTTTCCTCTTTTAAAAAAAAAAGTCCTTATTGGGGGGAACTTATTCTTCATGGAAATTTTTCTCTCATAAAAGTTGCTTTTATAAATTAATTTAGGTGATAAAAAAACTGTTTATCCCCATAAGCTGCATGCCAACTTCTCACGTGTGTCCTTGATATCGCAGGAAGGAAGAGGAAATGGTTCAAGACTGAGGAGGCCGTCAGGGTGCTGCAAAGCCACAAGCCTGTCCACGCCGAGTACCTGCGCCGACTCACAGACTCCCGCCACCCCGCCTGTGCTCCCGTTTGCTCGCGGGCGACCGACAACAACGCGCCGCACTACGTGGTGTGCTCCACACAGGGCTCCGACCTGCTCAACAGATAGGACCCGCCACAGGCAGCCCCTCCAGGAGGACGCAGGCCCGGACAAAGGGTCTGGAAGGGGGGGGGGGGGGGGGTGGAAAAAGGCATGACTCATGCAGCTTTAAGTACAGAACAAACTTCTTGGAACTGGTTTGAAATCCATTTAAAATGGGTCCGATGTTTGGAAAGATACTTTCTAGAATAACTTTATTTTTATGGATATTTTTAAACCGTTGTCACGGGAACTTAAGCAGATGTAACCTTCAAAGGTGTCTTGGTAGTTTGCTGGTACTGGGACGTGTTGGCACTTAGGAGAAGCCCTGTTCCCACAGTAACCTCGTGTAAGAAGAATTGTCACTATTGTGGGAATCTTTTGGCCAATTTTGTGAATTTTGGTGGAGGCTTTAGCTTTTGTCTCCCTCCTTTTTTGCCTGAAGCAAAGTGGTTTAAGGTCCTCTTTAATGCAGCAGGAGTATTGTTGCTTTACCTGTAATTGCCACTATGTGAGATCACATTTTATCACCTCTAATCTCTAGTAACACTGTAATAAAGATTAGGAGATTATCTGCACTTCCCACCACTTTTACAGAAAGCCTTAACTGGTTTTGTAGTTATGTATATATTTAATATTGTGTTATATCAGAAAAATGAGCATCTCTCCCTCTCTGTCAGAGAAGTGGTTTGGCTAAGAGAGACATCTATGAGCACCATAAAAGCTCACCAAACCATACACCACAGGTGATATTTGCCATTGATAAATGGGACATTCACAACTTTTTAATATGTTAAACAACTTGCTGAATGGCTGACTTATGGGAAAACATTATTTTAATGGGAGAATTTAAAATTTTGCTATGTGCCTTCAATAAAGTAATAAATTACATTTAATGTAAATACTGACTGAAAAATAAAAAAATAAATGTGATCTGTGACTCACAGGTGATTGTACTGTTTCATTGCCTGCAACCCATTGATGGATGGGCTGTCATTGTCAGTATTTCAAAGCCACTGATGTGTTATGGTAAAATTAACTTTTGTAATGTTTTGCATGTGTGACTGGAAAAACCTGCAGTGCTTCAGCTATATATAAAAGCCTTAATAAATAAAAAAAACAACATCGTGTTAATTTCCGTGGTGTTTTCATCTCGGTGTACCAGAACCTGACAGCGTTTTGAATAATCTTCATGTGGACAGGCTAGCAGAAGTGCGGCTCCACCAGTCCCTCCTTGACCCGCCCATCCACCGCTGCTCTCTTAGCTTGGTCAGGTGTTCGTTGTTCTCACACATAAACTTTGCCTTTAGATAATCGATCAGATTCTTAGTCAAGACAAACGCTGTCGCGGCGATGTTGAAACGGATATTTCAAATGGTAAGCGTCTGAAGCCTTACATCTTCTGTGATCGCTTTTGTTTTGTTGGAATGACTCGTTTTGCTTCGGAGACACAGGCCTATCCATGTCTGGTTTGATGTTGAGTGATCTATGTTTTGTACCAGGGTACGCCGCTCATGGGCGGGACTATAACGCTCAGCACGAGTCTTTTGGAAGTCCCGCTACCGCGTGTGGTTAGGATGAAAATATCAAGCGCTCTTTGCCTTTTGGATGACATAGCTAGCTACTAAATGCTAACTTCGTTCATTGGATTGAATAAACTGTTGGCAGAAATTAAGCTAGCGCCCGTGACCATGGTGCAGCTAACGAACACAATATAACAATATTTGTACAGTAAAGAACAAGTTGACGAACCAACACATGTGACCACGGACACAGTTTATTTGTCATTGTTTCAGTTAGCTAGCTGTGTTAATTAGTCGTTTGCTCATCGCATGCTAAAACTACCGTTAGCAACGAAATGCGTTTTTGAGGTCCGTCCGTTAGTTAGCTGACCCTAAAATGTCACGAATGAATGTTTTAGATAACCATACCTATCACATTCATCACTGCATGTGTGCTTGTATAAAGAAATGAACTGTCATCAAAGGGACATGAAAAAATAAGAAGGGAATAAAAGCTAATTAGCTAGACATCTCAATAGCACAACGTTTCCCACAATGCATTGCCAAATGCATTGTGTACATTTAGAAATATTAGCACATGCACTATAACAGGGACATCTACCTATCTATCATTCAACCATTTCTTCAGCAAATGACTTTTAGGGCACGCAAAGGACTTTTTGTACCCCTTTTAACCAAAACTAGTCTTAGTTTGCCCTGACTCCTACAAGTAAACCTTTCATGCTACTCTTGGATACTGACACAGCTGTTGAGCTATCATAAGTTTTGCTCCTGACACTGATTGTGATTAATTTCCTTTAGATTTGAAGAGGTTGTTGAAGGGCAGATCGGACCTGAATGGACACATCCATTCCTCAAAAGAAATGGATGTGTGAAATTGTAAACTGCGCCAAAAGCTGATTATTACAATGTATTTTCGAACTATATTGTGTTATAACTTCATATCTTTGATAATTATTTCCCAAAAAATCATTATAGATAAAGAGATCTTTTTTTCTGGAGTGAATCAATTACTTTTATATAAGATTTTGTGCTCAGTGATGTTTTTTTTGGCTACAAAGTGGCGTGTGGCGCTGCTTTATGTATGCTGTTTTTGTATGACTCAGTCAAAGGTTGTTTCAGTTTGCTTTCGGAGTTTGTCAGCTTTCCAAAAGGCTCAACACACAGACTCACACAAGCGCGCATATTGACCTCGGTCACCAGCACCATCACCAGCCCAAACAAATCCTTTTTGTGAATTGACCACCCCTGGCACACCCCCCTACTACATGTGTGCCTCAGGCCAATGGACTAGACTGACTTCTGATTACAATCCATACTTTTTTTCCCCCGTTGTTATACTTCATATGGTCTAAATGAGAAAGGCTGTGTTGATTAAAATATTCTGACTTACTACCCTCCACATGATATGCATGTGGAAGCATTTGTAAAATGGAAATTGCTACTTGTAAAAGCCAAAATCATAAAACCAAAGGAGAAGTTTTTACATATTAACAACATGTTTGTTAATCTGTAATGTGGCGTGTGGGATGGCAGACAGGTGAATCTTTAGTTGTCTTTAGCTTGTGATGGCAGGTTTATCATAAAGAAGCCAGGTTTCTGCTCCTACTAACAGCTTTATGTACTGAAAGGAAAGCGGTAGCACTATTTAGACATTGGTTACAGCTTATAAATACTGTAGAGGTGGTTTGGGTCAGTAAAATCATAGCTGAGACCTCAGCTGAGTTCAAAATTTTACTTGAAGCTGTAAAATATTCATTGGATTACATTTGAGCTCATTGAATATAAATTCCGCTAACTTTTTCCACAAAAGCTGTGGAATAAAAGGTCAGATTACGGATTCCCTGACACACTCAGAGTTTTGTTGTTTCGTGATTAGAAAAAGAAGAACAAAGCATCACAGGTTAGAGCTCATCACGTCCAAAATATTTGTTTAAAGCAAATAAATCACAGGAGTGCTGCTCTATGTTTTTTAGACATGAGCAAGGCCTTGTGGTTCTGGACTGTGTTTATTTAGACCTGACACTAACTCACTTAGTAAAATGTATTTAGAACAGAAATAGTAGAGTTTGTATGTATATATTTACAGTAGGTGTTCCGTCTGATTATCTCTGCAGATAACCACCCCGCTTCTCGTTCCGGTCATTAAACATGCTGCTAGGAGTCCATTTTGATATATTCTACCTCTGTGCTCTTTTCCCCAGACTCCCGGGAAGGGAGGCTCCCAGAATGCGGAGTCGGAGCAGCCCAGCACAGACCTCAACCACGACCAGACCTCTGAGGTAGCACGGACGCCGATTGTGAACCCAGGTGCTCGGATGGAAGCGGTCAGTCGGTTATTGTGACGGTTGTGTTACCTTTGTGTGCAGGGCTTCATTTGTCCCCAGTGCATGAAGTCTCACAACTCTGCCGAGGAGCTGTTCAAGCACTACGAGCTGTTCCACGACACGGGAGACCTCCCCGCCCACGTGGCCCCCACTCGGTCAGACTGGCTTCCCAGTGTGTGACCATGTAGCATAATAATGACTAACCTTTTTTTTTCGTGCGTTTGTGCTGAACATGCTGGTTTTGTCTGTGCAGCGAAGACCTCACGATGCTTCGGCAGGAGGTTCAGGACCTGCACGCGTCTCTCAAGGTGAAATTTCTGCACTCTGGTTCTGACAGCGGTACTGAGACCCCAGACTGAGACTGAGACTTGATTTTGTGCCTCTCTTGATCAGGAGGAAAGGTGGTTTTCTGGGGAGCTGAAGAAGGAATTAGACAAAGTCCAAGGGCATCTGAAGCAAGTAAATCCTTCCAGATGTTTAACAGGCATCAAAGTGAATGCAAGTCCGTGCGGTAGAAAGCGAAGCTTACTTTTACTGTACACGATTCTCTCTTCCTGTCTGTTCCACAGAATGATGAGCAGACGAGCTCAGAGGGTTCAGGTAGGGGCACTGCATGATCAGAAAAGGGAGAAAAACACATCTAAGGGGATGGTAAGTTACAAGCTGTGTCTCTGTCAGTCCTTGAAAGGAAGCTGAATGAAGCAGAGACGGAGAAGTTCAACATTAAACAGATGAAAGACCTGTTTGAGCAGAAGGCTGCGCAGCTGGCAACCGAGATAGTAGGTCAGTGTGGTGGTGGGAAAAACCGGCGAGGCCCGCCTGGTCAGGCCCGTTTCACGACGTGAGAACATCACGCAGGATTTAACGGTACTCCTCGCCTCCACCAGACTTGAAGTCTCGCTACGACGAGGAGAAAAGCCTGAGAGAGGCTGCCGATCAGAGGGTCTCCAGTCTGAGCGAGCAGCTGCAGAACGAGAAGCAGGAGAAGGAGAGGCTCCACACGGAGCTGGTAGGTGAACAAACGCCCAGTCTCTGAAGCCGTGCGATACAACGTGTCGTTTGTTGTTGTTGTTTTTTAGGTGTTTTTTTTTTTCTTCCCCTGATTAACACGCTGCCTCCGTTCTGCCCCCTAGCTGCAGCGGCCGGGAGTGGAGGATGTGGAGGTCCTGCAGAAAGAGCTGGTGCAGGTGCAGACCCTGATGGACCGCATGACCCGCGAGAGGGAGGAGGAGTCCGAACGCCTCAAAAACCATTACGAGGAGCTGCAGGCCAATTACACTACCTCAGAGGTTAGGAGGCTAAGAAACCTCTGGCCCTGCCTACATTGTCCCCATTGCAAAACAAACGTGCACGCCGACTCTGTTGGACCCTCGTGCTCTTTCGCCGGGTGTTCGATTTGTTTAAAAAAAAAAGAAGGAATTTTGGTCAAAACGGCTGTGAGAAAGTTTGGATGTTCTCTCCTTAGGTCTTATGAAACAGATTAATATCTAATCCAGTCGTTAATTCAAGGCCTGGTGAATAATTCAACCTTATTTCTCACATCCTGAGCAAGAGGGTTATTAATAGGCCTCCATCGGGCAGCTTCGGGCTCTAAAGTCTCCTTAAAGGACAGCGTTCTATTTTTACTCACCAAACTAAATTCTGAATGGATTTGGAAGTCTGGTTGGTGCTTGGTTACATAATGGTTCTCGGATATAATTAACGCAATGCTTTAGAAGCTGTCATTTGATGAAGTTCTGAATGAACTCTCCCTTGCAGCCATTGGCCCATCTCCTCCTGGGCCACTGATCCCAGAAAATACTGCAGTGTGTTAGTGTGAAATGTCTCTCTGCTTAAATATCTCCAATCTCACCCTTTTTGAGAGAGAAAGCCTCGATTTGGAACAATCAAAGGTGCCGCATAAGAAGGCTGTTGATGCGTCAGCTTTGAAGTGTTTGTAATCTGTAAACTCTTTTCTTGGAGTTCTGATTCACGAGTCATTTTCACAAGAGAGACAAAACGCTCCAAACTCTTTCTGTGTACACAACTGTCCCGACATGGAGGGGTGTCCTCCGTAAAGTTTTCTATCAGCTCTGCTGCTCTGTGTTCCGTCTTCCTTTCATGACTTACCTTTGTCCCTGTGTCTCTTTCCCATCCTTCCTCCTCTGCAACACTCACAATACTCAAGATTCAAAAGCTGGAGGTAAAACGCGTCGATTCAACTCGGTTCCAGATTTCATTCAGTCTTTTGGAGATATAATTTAGTTTTCGTTAACCTCTTTCTGTTCATGTGTTTTTTTGTTGTGTGGCCTGCCTGTTGTTGTGACTACCTGCCGTTTCTTTTGCTTTCAGTCGCACCCGTCACAGCGAGTTTCTTTGGCCGAAAGAGCCTAACCGGGGTTTGTTGAATTGCAGGTGACCATATCGCAACTCAAAGCGGAGCTGGCGAAGGGGCCGCAGGAGGCCGCCGTCTACACGCAGCAGATCCACCAGCTGCAGGGCAGCCTCAACAGCCTGCAGCAGCAGTGCCAGGTAGGCTGCCCACCACCTCCGCGGCCTTAGAGCCGGCGGGCCTTTCCCCCTGTCCCAAAAGAAGTCCTTCCTGGTGTGCCCACGTCTGCCGTGACCTCTGCCGCTCAGTAGGAACGTGCCACATTTCCTTGTACTGCAGTTATTTCAGAAAGCGCGAGCAGCTGCCAGCTGCATGCTCAGAGCGGCGCATCTCAGGGGCTGCAGCGCTGCCCTCGCTGCCCGCCATCAGCATGCCCCGCTGTCACCAGCCGTCGCCGACAACAGGGACTTGTTGACAAATAAAATGGTCAGCCCTATTATTAAACCAGCGGGTGGGGATTTGGGGGTGGAGGGGGGGGTGCTGGCTGCTCCATCACTGGGAGTGGAATACTATCACAGTGTAAGGGAATGTGGCCAGGGATTAAATTCTCCCTCAGCCCAGCCAAGTGGGTCCTCGGTTACGGAGGGGCGTACAGTACTGGGTCTGACCGGCCAAACTCCAGATGGTTGACCAACCACCAGAGGGATTTCCTGGTCTCTAGAATATAGACACAATGAGGAGGCGTGACGGCGACGCAAGATGAGTAAAAAAAACCCCAAAAAATGGAAGTGATGAACCAGAGCGGAGGGACCCGGCTTTCTGAAGTCGGCCAGCTGCCGCGGCGCTCTGTGGAGGGGGTCTGGGCTTCTGTGAAGTGCAGGTCGCCTGTCACATTCCCTAGTTAGCACGTCGCTCCGTCATTAACGCCACTTGGTTCTTTATCACCCCGTTGCCAAGTTTACTGCCAGAACTCGGAGCAGGACAAGTGCTGTGTCGTAAACCGTCCCATTGAAGCCGCATGCCACACTTTACTCTGACCCTCAGCAGTGTTCTTTTCCATTACTCATATCTTGTTTGATGACTGGGTTTCAGGTTTTTTTTTTTCTTTGTTTTTTTTTAGCCTAGTACCAGGCCTCGGCTTTGAATTTAGAAAAACCTAATGGTCTGCTGAGAATGAATCGGTTACTTTAGCAACTCTTGATCAACATCCTCTACTTTCTCTTCTAGAACTTATCTGAAAAACTGGTGCGTAAGGAAAAGGAGCACCAAGAACTGGAAGAGCATCTGGGAGCCGAAAAAGCTGCCAAGCAGGGAGTCCAGGACAGCCTGAGGGAGAGGGCTTTAGAGGTGCAGGAGCTCCAGGCTCGGGCCGCGGGGGCTGAAGCCTCGCTGCAGAAGGCCCAGATGCAGCTGACGGAGAAGGCCGAGGAGGTCACGAAGCTGAAGAACGAGATCACCGAGCTGGAGCTGAAGCACACCGAGCTGAAGGTGGAAAGAAAGCAGCTGGAGCAGCAGAGGGAAGAAAAAGAGAGCCAAGGGGCTCAGCAGCAAACGGAGATCAGCCAGGTGAGTGTGTGGAGAGCCCACTAGCACCACCGACTCTCCCAGAAAGATGGTGGGCAGTTCAAACTGTACCATCATGACACAGATTCCACTGGCCTCTGAGCTCTTCTGGGGGATTTTACAATGCAGAATTTCAGTCAGATGCAAAAGTAAATATCTAATGTTTTGGTGTGATTATTTATGTTTCTCACCTATTTTTTTTGCTTACAGCTGCACACCAAACTGCTGGAGGCAGAAAGGCAGCTGGGCGAGGTGCAGGGACGGCTGAAGGAGCAGAGGCAGCTTTCCGGGGAGAAACTGAAAGATCGAGAGCAACAAGCGGCCGACCTGCAGCTCAAGCTCTCTCGTGCGGAAGAGCAGGTGGGAGTCAGCCGGACCTGATGCGGTCGCCACACAGTCGATATGACAGGACAGATCTTTTGAGTATTAGTGTGTTTGATATTGTGGATGAAATTGAGTTGTATTTTGAGAGGAAAAGGGGGGGGGGGGTGGAGATGAGCCCGTAAAGAGTGCTTGTATGTTTTCCTACAGCTGAAGGAGAGCACCAGTAAGAGCACTGACTTGCAGCACCAGCTGGATAAAGCCAAGCAGCAGCACCAGGAGCTGCAGGCTCTGCAGCAGAACACCAACGGCAAGCTCCGTGAGGCCCAGGTAACCAAAACCACTCACCACAGTTTGGCTTTCCAACAGTTTGTTTGCTTAACTTAGACTTTATTTGAATTTGTTTTATCTCTAACTGTAGCACATCTGTGATTGTCACCTCTACTTCTACCTAATGCTGTCCATCAGGGCACGGACAAAGTATCATTAGACTCAAATTTATGAATTTGAACTGAGCTTTGAAAAACTTTGTTTATTTTTCACAGAAGATATTCAAATGCTTTCGGAACTAAAGGCCTGTCCCAAACCTATTCAGTGTGATGTCTTCCTTATTCCCTTTGGATAAAAGCGTGTGTAATGTAATAATTACACAGTTGTATATGTTTTTTTAATATTTGAACAAATGAGTTGATTTTGGCCTTCAGTGACAGAAAAATGTCTCTGATGGAAAAGCCATGAAAGAGCTGTCCAAATCAGCCAGTGCTTTACCAATACAAAATGCTTCCTTTTTCCATGCCTTAAGTAGCCAGACTATACACAGTTTGCTTTCACAGTACAAAACACCAAACAAAATTCCACCTTTTTTCTTGTGGCAGAACGACCTGGAGCAGGTTCTGCGTCAGATTGGGGATAAAGACCAGAAGATCCAGAACCTGGAAGCTCTGCTTCAGAAGAGCAAAGACATCGTGAGCCAACTGGAAGCTGAGAGAGAGGACTTGTGCGCCAAGATCCAGGCTGGGGAGGGGGAGACGGCGGTCCTTAATCAGCTGAAAGAGAAAAACCATGCACTGCAAGAGCAGGTGGAGACCGACAAATTTCGTTTGGGGACTGAAGAGAATTCATCGTGAAAATCCCACAGATACTATGTTTGTTTTTTGGGTTTTTTTCAAGGTGACACAGCTGACTGACAAGCTGAAGAACCAATCAGAGAGCAACAAGCAAGCCCAGGACAACCTACACAAGCAGGTCCAGGAGCAGAAGACGCTGCTGCGCTCAGCTCAGGACCGAGCTCTCACCCTGGAGACGTCGGTCACTGAACTCACCGCCCAGCTCGCAGACAGCAAGGAGAGGGCATCCCAACTGGATGCTCAGGTATGATCAGAAATAAGGAGGTCAGAAGAATGCCTGGCAGAATGATGGGGCGGTGTCCCCTTTTTCACTTAGAAACGGACGTGCTGATCCAGAAAAATGCTTTATTTACAGATGATGTTCCTCAGTCGTGAGAATAATTTCTGTTGTTCTGTTTCCCTTCAGCTGAAGGCAAAAACAGAGTTGTTGCTGTCTGCGGAAGCAGCCAAGGCTGCACAGAAGGCCAACCTAGAGAACACCCTGGAGACGGCGCAACATGCTCTGCAGGACAAGCAGCAGGTCGGTTTCCTCTTGGTCCCACTTATCCTGATTTTTGTGACTGAAAACACCCTGTTTCACTTTTTCACCGCGCAATGTTTGTTTTGTTTTTTGTTGCCATTTTTCACTTTGCTGTATTTGGTCCATCCTGCCATCTTGCCAAACATTTAATGTCTCATTTAGGAGCTCAACAAAGTTCAGAAGAAGGTGGAGGAGAAGGCCCAAAGGCTCAAAGAAAGACAGGAGCAGTGTGCACAGCTGGAAAGCAGTCTGAAGGAATGTAAAGACAAACTACTGGCCTCGGAGCAGCGTGTTGAGCAGCTTGAGGGGCTCATCAAGGTTTGTGACGAAATGTGGGCGGAAGACCCTTTGCGTCAAACTCAAATATGCATCGTCGTGTCTTAAGTGTGTTTTAATTTGACAGAAACTGGAGTCGCAGGTGGCGGAGGCGCAGACCATGTGCCACCAGGGGCAGCAGGAGCAGCAGAAGCTGCAGAAGGAGAACTCGGAGATGAAAAAGAAAGCCAAGGAGCTGCAGCGCTCCCTGGAGACTGAGAAGGAAGGGTGAGACAAACCATACTGCCGTTGTTTTTTTGGGAGGTTTCGTGGGTGATCCAAGCCTTTGGGAGTAATTTTAAAAGGCCCCTAACAGGACATATGTGTGCTTCTTTTGATAAGAACTAAAACTCTACAAGAGGAATTAAAGAAGAAAGCTGCGGCTTTGAGTGACGCTCAGCAGCAGCTGGCGCGCTGTGAACAGGAGGTGACCGCTCTGAAGGGGAATCTGGACAAGGTGGTGCAGGAGGGAAAGACTCAGCAAGCAGAGCTGGACAAGAAAGCTCAGAGTCTGGCAACAGACCTGCAAAAGGTCCAACAGGACAAAGAGGCACAGAGGAAGGAGCTTGCCACTACTCAGGAGAGCTTAGCAAAGGCTAATAAGGCACTAAAAGAGAGTCTGAGTCAACTGGACACGGAGAGGAAAAAACATAAAACAGCCATGGAGGAAAAGGTAGGCTTGAACTGCGATACATAATGTGCACTTCAGGGTCATGTGAGTATTTTTCTATGCTAAAAATGAGCTCGAAAGAAAGAGTAAGATTAAAAAAGCCACTTGTTTACAGTTCCAAGCGGTCACTTGTCTTAATCTTGTCTTAATCCTCAGGAAAAGTCCAATGTAAAGTCAAGACAGGAGCTCCTGAAAGCTAATGAAGCTATCGCTAAGACAGCAAAGGAATCGAAAGAGCAGCTTGAGCTGATGAAAGAGGTAAGCTTCAGAAAGAAAAAACAGAACTCCGACTGTAAATCTGCCATTTATTTATTTACTTCAAATTCAATTTCAAATTCAGACCCAGAATTTTTGTCGTGTGTGTTGGGATGACAGGCAGAGAAACAGCTGAAAGTGCAGCTGACCTCATTAGAGCAGCAGCACTCCAAGACTCAGGGGACAGTAAAGGAAAAGGAGACTGAGCTGGACAAACTGCGGGAGCAAATCAAGACGATTCAGGGTTCATTAGGGGCGGAGGTTAAGAAACTAAAAGGCCAAGTGAAGGAGCTCCAAGAAGCCAGTGTCAAGAAGGTAAGAAACGATTCCAACTCCAAACCCGAGAACTGTAGGAAGATGTTTTCAGTCTCCTGAAAGCTTAAGCGTATGCAGGCATATTTCTGATTTTTGTACCTTCTGAATGCTTCCTTTCTTTTTTTTCCAGGTGGAGGAGGAGAACAAGCTGAGGGCTCAAGTGTCTGGGCTGGACCAGGAGCTGGTCTCTGAGAAGAGCCGGACGGCAGAGCTGCAGAAAGCTTTGGAGCAAAGCCAGGAGAGCCTCAAGAAGCTTCAGTCTGACCTGTATGGCAAAGAGTCTGAAGTTTCTGCCCTACGTCAAGACCTAAAGGTACAAAAACGGCAAAATGCTTTTTGTAATAAGTTGTAAATTCTGTAAAGACTGTTTAAAATTCACCAAATGACTTTGTCCGGGTGAAGGCAACAGAAGAGAAACTGAGCGTGGCTCAGGAGGAGATGGCCGCTAACCGAACCCATCAGACCGGTTTGGAGGCTCAGATCCAGGAACTGAAAGCGGATCGGGGCTCGCTGGAGCAGGAGCTGGCCAAACGAGACCAGAACCTCCAAAAGCAGGAGCAGACCCTGAAAGAGCTGCAGGAGAGGGAGGTCTGACAATTCTGAACTCGCACACTTTCAAAGTCACGGGGGCTCCATCCTTTTGCGCAAAATTCACTCTGAGATGCTCAAACCTGTTCAGGGTCGAGGTAAAGAGGAGCTGCAGAAGGAGAAGAGCAAGGTGGAGGAGCTGGACAAAGCCAGGAGTGCTTTGGAAACGAGTAACGCTATGCTAGCAGCTGAGTTAAGAGCACTGGCAGTGAAGGGCGAGAAGGTGAGTGTCAGAGTTTAAGAGGAGCAGAGCGAATACAGCCGGCCTTTGGGTGGAGGGGAGACGCCAGAGGCTGGACGTAAAATTTAAAATGTGTACGTAAACACAGAGCAAGGCGTTATGTCCCCTGCTGACTGATGCGACACACTCTCGGCGCCTCTCAGTTTACAGAATTGGTTTAACTGTTCTTCAGTCATAACTGAGCGTGCCTTAGCTGACATTTTTCAGCTCTGGTGGTTGAGAAAGAAGGGTGCCGTTTATTTAGGCTTCTTTTTTGGGCACGAAATGACAAAAGTGATTTTTAATTTAATTTTTCTTTGTCTCTTCAAGGAACTGGGTGAGTTGCAAGAAGCCAAACAGCTGCTGATCCAGCAGAAGCTGGAGCTGCAGGGTCAGGTGGAGGAGGCGCGGGGCGCCCTCAAGCAGGAGCAGACGGAGCACCAGGCCACCAGGGACAGCAGGAGGAAGAGGGAGGAGCAGCTGCTGGCCCAAACGAAGGACGTCCAGGACCAGCTGGTACGCCCAACGAGCGAACGAACGGCCGCAAAACTCCAGAGTCCGTTCCCGGGGCGCGGCGGCTGGTTTGTAACGTCCCGCTTCCCCCCCCGAAGGCAGCAGAGAGGCGAGCCGGAGAGGAGCAGGTGAAGCGCGGGGAGGAGGCCGAGGCCAAGCTGAGCGTGCAGGTGACGGCTCTGAACGAGAACGTGGCCACGCTGAAGAGGGAGTGGCAGGGCAGCCAGCGCCGAGTAAGCGAACTGGAGAAGCAGACTGACGAGCTGAGGGGGGAGATCGCTGTGCTGGAGGCCACCGTCCAGAACAACCAGGATGAGCGGCGGGCTCTTTTGGAAAGGTTGGTGGATTTCCAGCAGCTGATGAATCGGGTTCCTATTACAAGGTCCTTTCTCCATTTTCTTTAATCATCCTGAGTTACTGGGAAAAAAAGCCTCTGACTCACAGAATGTAATTTTCTTCTGCATAACAAATGGTCATTAAGTTGGAAATGAACCGTGTTGAAATCTAAAGGCCGGTGAAAGGCTTCACATGCACAACTGACAGGGCTGTTATGTTGCGAGCAGAAAATGGAGCAAACCAGACCGATGAGGTAAAATTGTAAGGACGAGCATGTCTGCTGTAACGTGCCCGTCTTTAAATGCAGAGAAGCGTCCTTCACCAGAGAAAAACAGATTACCACAGACGCGGGTTCCACATCTGTCTGGGTATTATTTCAGTTTTTAATCACATCGCAGAAAAGCTCCTGACTCCTCCTTTACAAGCAGCTTCTGAATTCCAATGTGTTCAGTTAGCGTGGCTCTCATAAAGCGGACCCGTTATCACTGAAGTCGGAGCATCAGTGGAGTTTTTTTTCTCTCGGAAGGTTAAATCCAGTGTTATCGCATTAGATGTAACAAAAAAAAAAACGAAATAGATGTAACAAAACGCTCAGTAAGATCATGTACAGCACTCTGCTTGATAAAGTGTATTACAGCTCTCACCACTATGCTCCTCAAACATTTGTAATCTAACGTGTACAGAGATTCTGGCTCTTACTCAGAATTCAAACTCTGAGATTATCTTCTCTGACTGCGTGTCCTGGTGGCACCAAGAAGCAAATCAAAAAGGCTTAAAAGCTGTAGATTATAGGGCTATGTATCGCTCTTTAAAGCGGAACAGAGGCCAGCTGATGACCGATGGACGGGCATAAGCGACGCCGACCCGGACGTCACCAGCGCTGTGTCTTTACAGGTGCGTGAAGGGCGAGGGCGAGATAGAAAAGCTGCAGGCCAAGCTGATGGAGCTCAGGCGGAAGCTGGACGATACGACGGCGGCCATGCAGGAGCTGGGCCGGGAGAACCAGTCGCTCCAGGTGAGCCCAGCGCGTCCCTGACAAAACGCCGTGCGTGTGGGATGAGCGCAGTCTCACCAACACCCCCTGCTGTTGGTGTGCGTAGATCAAGCAGTCCCAAAGTCTGACCAGGAAGTGGGCAGAGGATCACGAAGTCCAGAACTGCATGGCCTGCGGGAAAGGCTTCACAGTCACTGTCAGGAAGGTGGGGGACGTTTCTCCTGATAAATGCTGGAAACTCTCCGAGTTCCAACCTTGTACCTCTCTCCCTTTCTGAAAATCCAGCACCACTGCCGACACTGCGGGAACATCTTCTGTGCCGAGTGTTCATCCAGAAACGCCCTCACGCCGTCCTCTAAGAAGCCAGTACGAGTGTGTGAGACGTGCTTCGAGGAGCTCCAAGGCTGATCCGTCCATTTCTTTACCCCTCCCCTGTCCCAGTCGTCCCTTTTACCACCCCTCACCTCTTCCCCCTCTCCCCCACCCTCTCTACCCCTGTGGGCAGAAGACCACAAGTCGTGTCATTTTTATTGTGCACTATGAGGGACCGACCCCGTTCAGACCCCCGCCTGCATGGGCTTTCGGCCCCCAGGGTAGAAGGTAAATATTAAAGGGATCTGCCGAGGAGACGCCAGAGTCAGGTGATGGGGTTGGATCGATTGGGGGGGGGGGGGGGGGGGGTTGGGGTATCTGTATCTGTTTTTGTGCCTTTGCTACTCCTGTGGACTGCCAGCGAGTGGAAACAGTGACAATGAAACGCCACCCGTCTCCCGGAGCTCACGCGGTCAGCGGGACGCTGATGTGGACAGGCTCCGCCCTGCCAAGCCCGGCGACAGAGCTATTTTATTATCCTGAATCTAGACACAAAAAGAACCCGCTAATAAAATAAAGAGACAAATTACCTTTTACTCGTTAAAAAAAAAAAAAAAAAAATTTCAGCCAACAGAATGCTGAATCATTTTCCCATCATGGACAATGGATGGATGGATGGATGCTGAATGAAATGTATATCAGGCAGATTTGACGGGCAGGTCTACTAAATTATCGGCTCAAGTTTTAATTTGAGTTCTTAGATTGTCGCGAGGCGTTTTAATTCTGGGAACAGGCGTTGTGTTTATTCATTTAAGGAGGCAAACTTGTAGCTTGTTGTCAGTGAAATCGTGAGCTGAGAGGGAATTATTTTGTCTTTTAAGAGGAAACGCTGCCTTAAAGAAAGGAGTGTGTGCACCAGCTGATAACCTGTACCCGTACAGGCCCCCGTGGGTTCCCTCTGTGGGGCGGAGTGTTCATCAACCTGTAGTCCTTTGTGTCTTCAGCCTGTTTCATGACCAAAGAATGTGTGCAGCAGGACTACAGCAGCGTTCGCCTCGTGCATCAGTGTTCTTCTGCGTTCTGCCCAAAAGCTTTTTCAGTTTGATCACCGTCGGACATTTTTACTCTCAAAGCTGCACGTGCGGCGATAGGTTCTCTGCGTGCGGTCGTTTTTTTGTCGTTCCAGTGCCACTTGTTTCTCTCTGTGTGTGTGTTATTTTCCTAAATTGGCGGTGCTTTCCGCGGGCCGGTCATTCAGTCTGTGAAGGTGCCTGCACGTTTGATTTTGTCCTCTTTTCTGCTGCTCAGCAGCATCGATCACAGCTGCGATTGTGTTGGCGTGTGCGTGCGTGCGTGTGCTTTGAAGCAATAACTGTGGCTGTGTGTTAGCGTTTAGGCCTGCTGCGTTAGCTGAGATACACTGTAGGAATGTCGGCTGCTCAGAACCTCAGTATCTGTCTGGCACTTTGTTCAGGAACGTCGTTGCTGCCTTCAGGTACAGTGGTTACTGTCGGTTCTCTGTCCAGCTGAGAACACTGTAAAAGTATTTTTCCTGCTTTGTTTAATTTATGATTGTTCAGAAACTGGTGAGATCCCTCGTGCAATGGTCTGTAGACTGGAGCAGGTGGTAACACTGTAAGCCGGACTATGCACACCGTTCTGCAGCAAGCAGCTTGTTTCAGACTTACCAAATTTTCTCTTTGTGCTTGCATGCTCATTGCAAAAGAATGTCCATTTCAGTTTCACATTTATAGAAGAAAAACTTTTTTTTTTCGCCCTTCTTTTGTTCTTCTTTTGCATTGGATTGGTTTTGTTACGTCTACCTCAGACTGGAACAGGAAAAGCACTATTTACAAAAGACGGACATCACAAATGTACCTTTGCCTGCGTTTGACTGAGGACATGTGACTGTTCTATCATGTTGTATAGTCCCTGAACTCTTGAGAGATCATTAGCACCTTATCGTATTCTGGGCTCGTCTTTGTGAGACTCCAGCCACAAACATAGGACCACCGACTTTATACAGCTTCAGCATTTTTAGGCCCAACAATTGCTGATTAGATCTAAGGCTCTTTTAATTTGTAAATGTTTGTAACGAAAGAGAAAAATGAAGTATATATGTGGATGTAGAAATATGGTAACAGTGAAACTGTGTTTGGATTCATCGGTGTCTTAATTATTTTTAACAAAATGGCACCACGGACTTGCGCACACTAAGCTGTGGCTCTTTTCGTGTTGCCGTCAGTTATCATGCATGGTGACTAAAGAGGCCCGCGGCCCACGTTTTTCTCCATCAGCAGTCGTCATTCTTGGGGGTTTTGAGGGTGTGCCTTAGGCCGAGATCCCACACAACGCCACTCACTGTTAGTGGAGATCATGTATCACCTGAGTTTGCACCACTTCAGGACACCTGAAGGGATGAGAGAAGTATTGTAATTTATGTTGACATTCACCAGTTGATTTTCTTATTTGTTGTCGTGACAACTGAATTAAAAACCTGCAGTATGTTTCTAAATCATCTCAGAATTTGTGATTTTTTTCCTTTTTTTTCCCTAACTCATGATGTAAATTTCAGGAGTGGTCTTGTTCAACTACTTTGAAATGTAAAGATGCACTTCATTCAGACTATGCAGAACCAGATTTCAGTGTGTTTTGTGTCGGGGAATGAAAGCCCAAAATCAGAAGGACTGTAAATAAAACCCAATCTTTACATTGAACGGTGTTTAAGGAATATTAGACTTGGTTCCTGCTCAAAACTATGTTACCACATCCATTACCTTAGCGCCACATGTTCACTGGAGGATTTGTAATCCTAAGTATTCTGTAAAAGCAAATTTAAAATAAAGAAACATGCGCTTTAACAATATTACCAGAGCTTTATTGTACACTACTGCAGCAACTGCCTTTAAAGGCACACGTTTAGTTTAGAAAAAAAATCTTATTCTTGGAAGCATCTTTAGAAGATTTCCGGGGACAGGGAAGTGCACATTGACAGTAGAAAGGTTTCTGATGGCTCGTGGAGCTCTCGTCAGATCTGGGAGGACTCCAGCCACAGTGAGGTGCTCTTGACCCGCGGCTGCTGAGAGTCCAGCTTCAGCAGCGCCGTCACTGCGCCCTCTACCTTTGACATCCACTCTCTCTGTAAAAAGCCACACAATTGGGAATTATTGGAAAAAGAACGAGGACGTTTTGTCAACAGGTTTAGCAGGACATTACATTCATAGAAGATTTGTAGAATCTTTATAATGTGTGGTGGTGTACCGATGCTAACCAATGCTATAAGCACAACTCAACATTTCTATACAAATGCAAAAAGTTTTTTTTGTTTTTTTTTTTTTTTTTTTTTTAAAGGAAAAGGGAAAAAAAGCTAACGGATCTGAACACATTATCACGTTTCACTCAAAGTGATTTAAATACAATCAAGCTCAGATAGAACCCACATGAACCCATGTGTTTCTTCTCCTGCTGAGCATCCACTCTAAGACTGAGAATTGCTTACATTTAATTATCACAAGCCTTATTTGGAGGTGCAGCTGAAAGCACAAATGTTTGGACACACTCTGTGCAATCAGTGTTCTTCCAGCTCCTGTTGAAACAGAAATTCATGGTTGAACTGACTTACCTTGGCAGACTCTGAAGAAGCTTGCAGGATGAACGCTCCGATACACTGTTGGTAGCGGTTGTGGTGCATCATTATGAAAGAATGAGGGAGCCCTGATGCTGTGAAGAAAGGAAATAATTTTTCTATTCAATGACAACGTGTTGCAGCGTCTGCAAACAAAGCCGTAACCCAGCATGTAAGTCAACCATCCTCTCTGCTTCAACCCATTCAGCAGAGCCTAAACTGTGAGGGGTCGAGAACATACACAAGAAGAAAGAATATTTGAGAAGTGGTATTTACTGGAGGCATTTAGCTGATCAATGTTCTTGAGCTGGAGTCGATCCAGGGAGATGGGTTGGTCGAGAACTGTAAAGATGCATCCCTCCTTCAACAGCTGATCCAGCTCAAGGTTCGGCTGCAGCCTCAGAGGGTTCTGATCCGAACCGATGGACCTCTACACCAGAGCACAAGGTGGAATACGTAAACACACACACACACACACACACACACACACGCGTCTTTGACTGTATATCTACTACTGGTCCGAGTCAGAGTGCCATACCTTCTTGTTTCGCTTTAACTTTGTAATCAGCAGGAATTCGTCAAACAGGAACAGATAAACATCTATCAGCTTTGTGTTTTCTGGTGGTGAACCATAGAAAATACATTGTAAGGTTTAGCTGAAACTCAAGCATGAGGTGTTCTGGATTTCTGCCAAATCTGCCTACCTGAGAGCACTAGTTTCCCTTCGTGCAGGAGACTTCTCTGAGAGATGAGGTTCTCCAGAGTGACGGCCTTCAGGAGGTGTTTGAGAGTCTGAAAGGACGACGGTCAATCAGTCAAATCTTTAGACACATTAGTGAAAGATCCTCTGCTAGATTTCTAAAAGCAAAGTAAATGTTGGCGACACACATCATTAACATCATGGTGATTACTGGTATCTGATTTTGCATTCAGACAAATGTTATTTTTAAGAATCGACTGCCGGTGCAGCTCTTTGGCTTTAGTCTTTTTGCACACGCAAACACGTGGAAATAATGTCGAGGCTGACCTCGGGGATGAAGGCTCGCTTGTCTCTCTCCCATACAGGCAGCCACACCAAGGCATCTCTCAACTGCTTCACCTTCTGGTAGTTATCCAGCCATTTGACTTTTCCCTCTAAATCACCTGGAAACACAAGAGCCAAATAAATGTCTAAGGAATCATTAGAGGACAATGAACAGAAGCTCTGAAGCAAACACAGAGAATAAACTATGAATGAATTTACAGCCCTGCTTACAAAAACAGTGAAGTGAAGACAACTTACGAGCTTCTTTATAAGTACTTGTAAGCCACACAGAGATATCCGCTGTATTAATATCTAGAAATTCTGTAAACCGCTCTCTTTCAGAGCTAGGAAAATGCTGTGTCCCATCATTTAGGACACACACAAATCATCAACAAAAAATAAAATAAAAAAAGGTATATGGGAGTTATTCCCCCCCCCAAAAAAGAAATTAAGATAAACTTTTAAAAAATTATTTATCGGTTTAAAATGTTTCTAACCTCAACATCCTCAGTCAAAAAACTAATGAACAATTTCAGGTTTCCCAGGTCTCTCTACATTTCTTAGAGAATTTGACCTGTTGGATGGATTACAAAAAGCTTCTCTAATCAAAGCTGGAGGCCTTTCCGGATCACATTTTAAATAACACTAGAACATGTGCCATTTTGAACTATGAATCAAATCCAGCACATGTGATGGAGAGAGGCTTTTATCTGTAAGCAAAGCGTGAGTCGCCGGTTCCTATGGAAAGGCTTTATTAATGCCGAATGGAAAAAAAACACAACTCGTACAGATTTGGCATGTTTCAAGGGAGTGCTTGTTTTTTTTTTCAGCAGATTGTCAAACACACTCTGCACACAGCACTGCGGCGTGGCTCCATCACCCTCCTGCACCATGTAAAATACACAAATCCCAAAACTAATCCAAAAATATTTGGGATTAAAAATGGTTGTTAAGAGTGTTTTTAAAATATGATATTCAACATGGTGAAAAGAAATATAATGTAATACTAAAATTAGATTAATTTTTTTCAAAAATGTGATTTGTTTTCTGTAAAACATACTTTTCATTAAATGTACGCTTTTGTTTTATTGGAATCATTTGCCTACTTAAAGTTAAAAAAACACAACAAAAAACAGGTGTAACATTTAAAGATGTTCACAGAGTGACGCATGGCTGACAGACTTCATCTCGCTGGTTATTACTGGCATGGTGGTGCCAAACACGGGTGTGACCGCATCATGGTCAGGGTTTACAACTCTCTCAGGTTTGACAGTTAATAGCTCCAACACGCAGACAGGACATTGGCCTACACGGCTCAGCCATGAGGACAATGCTCCATCAGCTGTAAAAGACATAATCTAAACCATTAAAGAGGTGTGGTGCGACACACCTTGTGGTAAAAAAGAAAAAAAAAAAAACTTTTCAATGCCCGGAAAGCGATTCATTTAAAGGTCTGTCGCTTTTGTGACGTTACATGTTGAATAGGGGAGAATAAAACTGAGCTGCAGTGCAGGATTTCCCACAGCCTGTCCTTCTAGTTACTCAGTAAACTGCCACAACAGGTCTGTACGCAGAGGCATGCTGTGAAGAATAAACGGACAAGGACTGCTGGCTGCTTTCCAAGGCACAAACTGCTTCGCCTGCTCCTGGTGGCACACATAACCATCTATGGTGCATTTTTCTGTCCCAAGATGTTTATAAAAAACCATCCGCTGGTGAACATTTAGGAGCTGACTATATAAAGTCGTACATAAACCCACTACATGAAGTCTTACAAAACATCAAAAACCCAGAAGACTGGACACCAGGTAATATGTGATTCAGGCTGGAGGGGTGCACAGTGCTCACAAATAGACGTGTCCACTTGCTCCACGATAGCTTGCAGGCCTTTGGATTCCTCTTCCTTCTGGCACCTCTTTGCGATATTCCGCAGCAACAGAGGGTACCTGGTCAACCTCTGCAGCGGCGCCACCAACAGGTCTCGTAGTTGCAGCCTCCGGCACTGTTCATTCCTTTCACACCACTGAGGAAAGAACCGGTAGACAAAAGAAATGATCGAGGGGGAGAACATGCTGTGAAATGTGTTGAGGGAAGTTAAAAATGATCCACAGACCCAAACAAGATTATCACACAGACAGATCTACGCAGACACGATCCTCTTTACATTCAAGCGAGCAGCTACACATGAAACATAACACCGTGTTTTTAAGGCAAACAAGCCGGGATCATGTTAAAAACACGACATGTTTTGGCAGTTTGCTGACTGGGGCATTTAGCTGAGCGTCGACGCAAATCCAAGAAGGAAAGACATCAGCGTTGATTGTAAATGCTGCTTATCATTTTCTGCCGTTTGGGCTCCGACACATCCCATTAGTGGTGAATTATAATAATTTTCCATGAGGGGAAAACGTCTTTGGCGATTGCCAACGTTCCCAGGAGGAGATGATGCATGACTTAAAGCACGATGACTGCTAAGTGTTCACAACTGACAAATGGGGACATTCCTCTCATTGACAGCCTCTGTCACGCTGAACCGATTGCTGGAGCTGCAATCGCCGCGTGTTCCTTCTCATACTTGGCACACAGTGCCTGAAGTCTTTTCAAAGTACACGGTGTTCTTGTCTCTGCTGACAGACACAAACAATCAAGAGGATTCCTTCCTGTACCTTTACATATGATTGAAAGTCCTCCCGGGGCTTCAGGGTGTCCAGATAAAGCAACGCTGTGGAGTAGTTGAGGCAGTACTTCTGCAGGCTGTGGCATATGCTCTCTTGGAAAGCCTACCAGCAGAAAGAGACGTTACATAAACACTCAGATACAGCCTGCAAGACAACATAATCTACCAGGATACTGATTACAAAAATGCAACTGAACACTTGAACTGTTGAATATTTTAGGACAAAGCACTGAAATAAAACTGCCTGCTCATTATTTTACTTGTGTTTCAACTCACATTCACTCACATCTATTCATATTTTGCTTACAGTAGGCTCTTGTGGTAAAACAGAGGATCAAGAGATAACCGGGAATATCGGTAATGCAACAAGTACAAACATTTAAAACGGAAATGTCAAAGAACATTATGATTTTCTAAAAAAAGCTATATCAACGAGCCTTCAGATATAACTAGGGAAAATATTCGCATTGCATGTTGAAAGCGCAGACAGCACAACAACAATAATCCTAGCCTTTTCAGGGAAGTTCTAATCAGGTTTTGCTTTTCCTTTAAATCCACATCTTATCAGTGGACTTTAACAGGGGACAGAGTAACTGGGTGTGAGTTACACCTGCCTTGCCCAGCAGTTCCAGCAGGGTGGACCCGCCACCCTCAGTAATCTCCAATGTGTCCTTGATGACACGCAGGAGGTTGTTCAGGAAACCGAAGCTCACCTGCAGTAGGAAACAGTGCTGAAGAGTCACTAAAAAAAGCCACCGGACCCTCTTTCAATTTGTTACCTGCTACAAATTTTTCATTTTTCCATAAAAAGTTCAGATAATTTTTGTTTCTTATTTTCTGCTTATTCTTCTGTTTCAAAAATAGCTTTAATAATTAGACTTTTTCTTGTCAAAGTCTTTAAACTTAAACTTTTCTGATTTCCCCATCTGATCAACACCAAACAACAAAATTTGTATATTACACAGAACCAACAAAATAATTAAAAAACAGCATAGTATGAAAATCCAAAGTTAAAAACTGGAGTAAAACCGCTAAAAACAACAACTTTTAGTTCAAAAATTGGTTTAACTAAACGGAGTAAATGGCCTTAATGCCAGACTAAACTTTGGCTGTGATATAAGCTCTCGTTGTTTAGGATGATTTAAATGGGAAAAGTCAAGCAGCTTATTTGCATCCTGTCTCACCAGGCAGAGTTCATTGAGGTTTGCAAACAGCCTCCACCTGTCAACGTCAGTGATGCAGTTCCTCAGCTGCAGGTTTGTCAGCGTAGCTGAAAACACCTGAAAGGAACAAAGAGGACAGACAGTGAGCAGGTCATCTGTCAAATCTGGCATTGGATTTCAAATCCTTCCCAGTAAACAAAAGGAGAACCCAAGAGAAAACTAAGTGAACACCAAACACCGGAATGCAGGGGTATGATAGAAATACACAAAGCAGCAGGTGTGTGTGCGCTTTTCATCTGGGTCTATTTATATGTTTAAAGTTTATGCATTTAGCAGATGCTTTTATTCAAAGCGACTTACAAAGCAGACGCAATGTTACACTTATCAATGATCTGACAGAAAGATCTCTAGAGGAAAATCCTTAGTCAGTCAATGGTGACAGCGAAGAGATAGAGGGAAAGACAGAAAGAGTAGTAGAGGGGGTATAGAGGTATGGGGAGGAGTTAGGATAGGAGAGGTGGGTCTCTAAGAGTTTCCTGAAGATAGACAGGGACACTGCTGTTCTTGCAGAGCTGGGTGGGTCATTCCACCATTTGTGGTGTGTGCACTTTAAGTTCTGAACTGACAAAGTCACCTCTTTGAGAACCATGAGCTGATCCAGGAAGTAAACGCACTCGCTGGTGAACAGCTCCCAGATGGTCTCTTGCCTCTTGCAGCTCTGAGGGTCGGAGGCGACCCAATCCTGGGAGCACTGGTCCCGCATGAACTCGGCCACGGACAGGTCCTGTGCAGAGGGACAGCAGCGATGTGAGGACACGGCTCCACCCTCCACAGGGTGCTTCATAAAGGCTTGGCCGACTATGATCTTTTACCACCACCATGACTCAGGGGCGCGTCAGTGTTTGTTTATGTGCATGTGCAGTCAGCCAGGATGGCAGCTGCCAGGATATTCTGGTTCTTGCCCGGCCTGCCTCTCTTGGTTTTTTCTTTTTGACTGCTGTCTTGTCATTTCGAGTCACTTTTGTAAATACGGAGTTGTATTTGGATAGGAAACCTGACTGTCTTTGTAGTTCAGACCTGGCTCAGATTAGTCGTCGGCGTGCAAACAGAACAAACACAATGATTTACACCACAAACAGAAAGGCCGGGACACACACGGGGCTGCTTTTCTAACCTTATATTTCTGAAACTCGGCAGTCCTCCAGTCTTGAATCTGTGCCGTTGAGAGGTATTTTTCAATATCGGACACAGTGCCCATCTGCGGCTTTCTTTTGCTCTGAAAGTGAAAACACAGACACGTCAAATGAGTTTCTGTTGACCGAGAAATCAGTGTGTGCGCATTTGCTGCTTTGCCTCGCACATTATCTGCACACGTAACAGTCCAGCAGCCTCAAAAGCTGAATTACCGAGTCTGGCTCAAGCTCTGCATTTCAAGTGTTGACCAATTACAAAAAATGTTTGCTCCTAAAAGGGATAAGAGGTAACACTAATCTGCTTTGAGAAGTGGGTCACATAACAATGTGCAAACCGGCTGCCCACAGCTAAGGCAAAAGTACATCAAAACAAAACACGAGCGCACCACGGCACCGCTCACACCCATCAAGCCGGCGAGGGGCCCACCTACCGTGCTGCGCTTTGAGAAAGGCCACTTTGACTTCTTTGTGTCTGTAAAGAATTGCACACAAACAGCACCGATTATACAAATGAACACAGAAAAGGCAATTTTGCTAGGAACTGATGGGACTGAACTCAAACACACAAAACGTGTTTAAAACTGGCTGCAGACTCGAAGACTAAAAGAATTATGTAATATGCTACTTTTACAAATGTAAAAATATACTTTTTTATCTATTCCTCATTGGTCTGCTACTGGACACTTTCATTCAACACAAAATCTCCATCTATTCTTTATTTAAAATGCTGACATGGAGATGTTTATCGTGAATGTATTGACTCCATTTATCATAGCCTGAGGAAAGCAGTCTAATATGGAACAGTAATTCAGCTAGCTTCAAAGTGCCGCCACACATGGCAAGAAGCACTTAAAAAGGGCTCAGATCCGCTTGGACTGAAAGGCTTAGGTCACAGATGTTGCTCAGGGGGATGACAAACGCCGTTTCACTTCACGGGACACGTCAGGACCTGGACTTTTACCAGAGAAGTTGGAGCTATTGATGATGTCCGCTGCTCCGTTTGAGACAAAAAGGTCTCCGGGTGAAACATCCAGTCCAGGTAAGCTGACCACCACGGAGCTCCGCCTCCTCTCCTGAAGCCTGAAGCAGACACATGGGCGTCAGATGGTCTCCGACGGGTTATGAAAGCAGGCAAAGCTGTCAACTAAAAACGACTTTTCAAGGCATGTGAAAGACTCGCTTCACACCCAAGAGGATTAAGTGCCATGTAATGGCTTTGAAATCCCACTGAAACATCTGCACCGAGCAGCAAAACTGACACGAACAGCAGACATTACGAGGACGTGTTATTGGTGGAACAGCAGCCGATTAATGGCCAGTCCCACTGGTGTGGAAGACGGGAGGCTGTCGGCGTGTACCAGTCATAATCCTCTTGGTGTCCTTTTCATAGTTAGCGATCGAGGCATGGCTTAAGCTGGAAAAACAGAGGCCTGCCTTTTAGCCTCCGGCAAAGCTCACACAGCCACTGTGCAAGTGTTCTGAACGGGCTGCCAGAGTTATTCTCCGGTACGGTGCATCACGCGGAACTTCTCTGAACAACAAGTGCAGACCCACGCACCGAAATTAACCCAAGACTTTTGATATTATGATTTATTCATATCGGGCTGCAATAAACACTAAAGAGGGAATCGCCTTGCTATGTTTCACATTAATTATGAAGGATTAAGAGAGTCTACATGTAGAGAAACTCGATCAGCAGCGGTGAAACAATCCCTATCCAAGCTCTGCCCATGCGAACAAGAGGCAAGCAGCCGTTTAGTGTGGCAGGCCGTTGAAACAACCTGCGCAGCAGCAACCAAACAGGCCGGTTTTGCTCGAGGCAAAGTAGACTCAAAGCACACTGATACTGACTGACAGCGGGTCACTGACCTACAGCACCACACGGTATTTTCACGGGTAAATATTTAAAGGACACGGCTCGAAAAGGCAGAGCTTAAAGTTCAGATGGAAAAAAAAAAAGAAGTGAAGTGATGAATCAGTAAACAATAGCACATAACAAACAAACACTATAAACTCAATGGCGTGGATAAAAAGACTGGAAGTCTTTTCAGGATGTAACTGAACGAAAAGGCTTACAAATGGAGGCTTATGCCTGTGGCCAATAACAATGAACGGGAGCAGAAGTACAAGTTTGAGGAACAGTGATTTAAGTCCGCTATTGTCTGTCAAAACGGCTTAATTGCCCTTAAAGAACTTTCTTCCTCTTCCACCGGGTAACACCACCCACACGGTGGCTGCGCTCCTGACGGTGGAGCTGCTCTGTCCCACCACCGTTAAACTGCATGGCCACAGGGCCAGCCTGTGCACTTAAAGGATATATAAGCCTGTGGCTGCGAGCTGCCTGGTTTTCCCCCCCTAGCATGCTTTTGTTCAGTTGTGAAAGCAACAACTGTTCCTTGCTTTCAATGGCAGGGTGCTGCTCTTCCCTGTTAACTGATAAACAACCCCCCCACCTCCACCCGCAACCTCCAGCATGGGCACCAAAGCAGATAATATTGGGCACCAATACCCGAGTTCTTTGGTGGCCGGCCGGGCCTGGCAAAGGCCAAACTACTCCTAGAAACCGGGCCAGAGTCTCTGTGCAGCTCATTCCACGACATCCTCACAATGAGAGCCTGTTTGTTGCTTTGTGGCTGAACAGAAGGCTTCCTCTGTGTCCGCCACCGAGAGGACTCGCCGAACAAAAAAAAAAGGGTGTTTTGTTCCAACGCAAGAGAAATAATGATGCCCCGCAACAACGCTGCTGGACGCGGTGGACGGCGAGACCTGGGCATTGTCACAGGCACCATTCCAGGACGTAATTATGGGGGACAAAAGCTGCCTAATTATCCGGAGCTGGGGAAGAGCCTCTCTGCCCATTAAGAGGGGCGTGGGTGGGAGGAAGGGACAACAGCCTTAATGAGGGTTTGTCCTGCCCATACAGAACCATGGGGTTCTCAAAACTGAACCCACGATGCTTATGAGGCATGACTGCGCAAATGAATGCACAAAGGGGCTCCTGAAACTCCGTTTTTATGGAATGGCCCGACACGATCACGGGTGCCGCGTCACGGAAGCGGGATGAATCGGACGGACAACGCTAAACACATGTGAACTCTGTGTCCCGTCGCGGGATATTTGACTACTTTCCTGATAAGCAAATACACCCTCACACTGTCGGAGATGAGGCTCCTTTGTGTGACGCTGATGGGGCACCCGGACAACATGCAAATCGGAAAGCATCCAAACGTCCAAAAGTGCACCTACCTACTATGGCAAGGCTCCTTTTCCTACAGGGGGAGAGAAAAAAAAAAAAGAGAGAGAGAGGACATTTTAAATTAGTGCCATTGCTTATCACCTTCTTCACACTTTCCACGCTGTGCCAGTGGACCCCCGGCTCAGCCGAGGGGGTCGTAAGCCCTCCTGCAGCTAACATCGCCACTATATCACTTTCAAAGACATTCAAATCTGAATCAGTGTTTTTAAGTGGGCGCTTGCACTCAAAAGCCTCTGATATTGGAGGAGAATGTCAGCACTCCATTGAGGGCGCGCTTGCTTGAATGCGGCGAGCTGATGAATAGATCTCCCCATTATCTTTTCCCCATCGCTCACTGACCCCTCCATTATCGGGTGACTGCCGACCGCGGTGAATAGGGGCCCCGAGGAGACCACTTCCCAGGGCTCTCCGGGCAGTGGGTTTGGTCGGAGCTGTCAGTGCATGTAACTGCTGATTCATTTGCTGTCAAAAGCTGGCATTGTGCGGGACCGCTGCGGGAGGCTCTGCAGAATGAGGCTTCTGCGAGGGAAGGAATGTCTACCCGTTTCATTTGTTACGGGCCAGGGCTAAGAACGCCGCACTTTCGCACTTTACACCCCAAAGTATTTGTGGCGATGGCGGGAGGGCGTTGGGGATTAGAACCAATTATGATCGCATGGCTCTAGATCTACGCACTCACCTGCAATTCGCCAAGGGAAGACCCCGAATCTTTCCTATCGCCACCGGGACACGCCTGCCCCTCCGAACCGATGCCGTTGACTAGAGTCTTTGACCTCTGCGACCTGGTGCTCTGCCGGCCGGACGAGGAAGGCGGCCGGTGGCTGTGCGAGGTCTCCTCGTCCGAGTGGGGGCTCGCGGCGAGGGGAGACCTGACTCTGTGGAAGGGGGACGGCAGGCCGGCGGCAGGGTAGTCGCCTTCCGACGCCGGCTCCTCCTGGGTGCCCTCCATCCTGCCGGCGGCGTCCAGCACGGGCCGGCGGGTGCTCCTCATCCTCCTCAGCGTGGGGGAGGTGGAGATGCGGCCGGGCGCCTGGCGGTCAAACTGGAAGAGCGGCGCCGCGAAGCTGTCGGCGTCCCCGAGAGCCAAGTCCCTCAGCTTGGAGTGCGTCCGTTTCAGGTCTATGTGCATTATGACCGGGTTGCTGGTTTGACTCTCCTTGTGCTCGGACGGGCGCGGGTCCGTTTGGGTCTGGGCGTCAGCCACACCCGCCGCGTCCGCCTCGTTTTCCACCCATTCTAAGAAACTCCAGTCCAGCTTCTTGTGGTTGTCCTGGTCTTTGTCCTGGAGAATAACGTGCTTCAGCGTAGACATGGTAACCTCAAAGGCATTATTACAGAGCAGCAGAGATCAGAAAGCGTGTAATCTTACAGTCTACAGACTGCTTCGCCTCCTTGGTGGATAACGTCAGCCGGTAATCCTGTTGCATTCCAGTTTCGCACCATTCACTTATCGAGTTTCTGGAAGGGGGGGGACAAAAAGTATAAAAACGCGTAACTACTCACAAGATGTGAAGCTAGGCACAAACCAACCCTCCTAATCTCCTATAAGGGGATTTGATCGGGGTTCAAATGGCCACAGAGCAGAAAACAATGCAATGTGTGACTCATTTTGAGTTCCCAAATAGGAGTTCCTGTGAGGGGTTTACAGGCAGGTGGATTAAAAGGGAACAATGATGCTATAACGCACCTATTCAGCGCTCAGAGATGTCTGCCCTCACTCGCACAAAGGGGATGATATGAACCTTCTTCTAGCTTTCCTGTCACACCACCAGAGTTCCCACACGTTTCTGAAGCTTCTGCGCTCAATAAACGATCCTCTAATTGTGGAGCAGGTGCTTCTAATCGTCAAAGTCCACAGTCCAAATTAAACCCACATCCCCTTGAGAAGAAAGCAACAACAACAACAACAACAAAAAAACTGCTCAACTTTACGGCGACTTTTAGCGCTTCTGAACGCGATCCGCGTGCCGGAGAAGCGCACCACAGCCTACACGTGCTTTGGAAAGATGGTAAAAAATTAAACAAGTGTGGCTCACCTTGGGCCACCGGAGCAGAGGAGCAGAGCGGCACGGAACGGCGCAGAATGGCGCGGAATGGAGCGGCGGCAGGCTGCGGACAGATTCCGGACGCTGCTTTCAGGTCTCACAGAGGAGAAAGTAAAAACGCATCAGCCTGTTCGCCCCGGAGCCGGTCCGTAGGTACGAGTGTTCTCCTGCATGGGAACACCAACTCTGCAACCCCCACCGTCCCTCCTCCTCCTCCTCCTCCTCTTCCTCCTCCTGCTCCTCCTGCTGGTGCTCCAACCCAACGCACGTCACAGGCTGAGGAACAATGAGTCAGGCTGAGTTACACGAAGCAGGACAGAGAAACACACACACACACACACACACACACACACACACACACACACACACA